GCCACGGGTGTTACTGGGAGGTTGGAGGGCTACTCTATGTCGTGTGAATACCCCATAAGGCAATCATCAGACAACTACAAGCTCTTCAAAGACGTTGGCCTACGAATAACCATCGGTACCAACCAGAGGACATGTCGACAGTGGACTTCCTCGACGTCACCTTTGATCTAGCCAGCGGTCGCTACCACCCATACCGCAAACCGAATGACGCACCCAGATACATACACACCAAGTCGAATCACCCGCCCAATATACTCCGGAATCTACCTGCAATGATCAATAGGCGGGTGTCCGACATCTCGTGCGACGAGGAGGCATTCACCAACGCGGCACCCGCATACAGAGCTGCGCTATCTGCCAGCGGATTTCCAGGGGCCATGGTGCTCGACGGCGGTGGGCCTACCAAGAAGAACAAGCAGAGGAGAAACCGGCATAACATGGTACAACCCACCATACAGCAAATCTGTATCCACCAATATTGGTCAGAGGTTTTTCAAACTAGTCAGCAAACATGTCCCTGCCGCGTCGCCACTACACAAGATCTTCAACAGAAACACATTGAAGTTGAGCTACTCCTGCATGCCCAACATGTCCTACCTGATGAAGGGACATAACCAAAAGGTACTAACGCCTGGTGAAGAGAGATCTGCGGCAGGGTGCAACTGCCGAGCCAAGCCATCATGCCCTTTGGGCGGCGGATGCTTGGAGGGGGAAGTGGTGTACCAGGCCTCCGTCACAACCCCAAGTACAGGCGAGGAAAGGCAATACATCGGCCTGTGCGAGACGCCCTTCAAGGTGCACTATGGCAACCATCTAACCAGCATGCGGCATGAAAAGTACCGTACCAAGACCGAGCGATCCAAGCACACATGGGCGCTGGGCCGCTGGCTGACCAAGGTGAGGAATACAGTATCAAATGAGCAGTCATAGATCGGGCCAAGTCCTACAGCAACATATCCAAAAGGTGCTGCTTGTGTTTAGCAGAAAAGTTAGTTGCGCATCATCACCTTAAAGACGCCTCACACTCTGCTCAACAAGAGGTCGGAGTTGGTATCAAAGTGCAGACACCAAAACAAGTTCTACCTCTCCACCTACTCTGCCGTGACATAGCCTCCGCGTGCTACCACTATCACCGCCACATCCTCTGAATACCCGCGGCTGTTGAATGTGGACACCACAGTGTGCTTCCACCGCCACATGCACACATCACACCCCCTGCCCAGTGCCCCCATGCCATGGCTTACCCTTGTCCTGCCTGGTGGTTTCTCCGCCTCTGCACGCTCCATGCATAGTTCGCGCCTACTGCGCATGCCTATCCAGTGATGTAATTCTTACCACTCGCTCTTCCATGCATGCCCTGCATTGATAACTCACACCTCCTCTACATGCCCATGCGTATCCCCCACAATAAGAACAAGCTATCCCGCGACAAAAGCATAGTTGTCTGATGATTGCCTTATCCTCAACAGTTGTCGCCATAGCTTCCTCAGTCAAGCATTTTAGCTACGTGCATGAAACGCAGCGTTACAACGTATGTATAATATAATTGGTGGAACCATTCTTTTGGACCTTTGTGGTTACGCTCCGCCCTTGTGGTGTTGAGCACTGTTGAAATCTGGGTATACCCACTTATATGTACTCTTGGTACAATCAAGAGTACATACAGTACTGGTATATTACATATACCGTTTATGTACTCTTGGTACAATCAAGAGTATGTTTGTGTACTCGTACTCATGGTACAATCAAGAGTACTCTTGGTACAATGTACATGACTCTGGATTGTACATGTATCTTTTTTACGGGCAAAATAAACACAATGAATATTTTTTCCCAAGTGTTCCAAAAACTTCAACTCAAAGTTCTAGAAAGAAAAAAAAAGAAAGAAAAAACACGCAAAAAAAACAAAACAGCATAATAATGTATGTACCTTCTTAGGTAAACAGCAGCAAGTTCAACTTCAAGTCAATATTCCAGTCACTGTTACCGCTCGTGCACGCTAAGCCGGTACCCGGGCCTCTACCACTGCCAGCGCAGCAGAGGTATCACCCACAGCCAAGGCAGACTGGCTAGAGAGCCTTCTGCACCCTCGGAGGCACATGATGCAGGACCGCAAGAGGGAAAAAGCGATCCTGCACCTGATGAAAGCCATCACATGAGAGTACATGTACTGCTCCCCTCTTTTCGCCGCCAACAGAGAGGCCACTCGTTTGTAGAGGGCCGTTGCTGCCTTGCCCATGCCTCCACTCGCAGACATCACAGCCGGAACAAAAGTGGCATGCTCCACTTGTCTCACTCTCTCTCTTCGTAGTGCCTTCGTTTCTCTCTTTCATGTCGATGATACACAGTGGTACGTGGTGCAGACTGATTTGAGCGAGCATAAGGATTAAAAACCCGGACATCAATAAGGGATTGTACATGTATTGCAAGCCTGGGAGTCGTAAAATACCGGTATTTTACGACTCCCTGGTGCAAGCCGATCACAAGGAGTAGTAAAATACTACTCCCCGAAGCCAATGGTTTCGGATGGGGTATCCCGATCGCAAGCGCACCGCCTACAAGTAGATCTACCAATCGAAAGTCCAGGAGTGCAGTGGTGTGCAGAGGACTGAGGTTACAGTCTTACTCTTAGCCCAGTATGCTGTCACCCAGCCCCAAGCAGCATTTGTGGCATTTGAACAGGGCCAGCGGCACAAATGGGCCTTCATTGCCTGAACCGTGCCCGACACCGCGCACTTGCTAGCTCCGTTGGAGGACACGATGCGCACGAAGCTCATTCCCGCCATCACCAACCGACCTCCTCCAGGTGATCTTGAAAGGCCCCTCCTAGCTCTACCCTGCAGAGACGGAGGTTTAGGGCTCATCATCCCGGCCCGGAGCCTCCCTGTCAGTCCAGCATCGTGACTCTAAAGCTATCACACACGCCCTCATAGAGCGTATCCTGCTTCAGAATGAATCCCTTGACGGCATCCCGCACGAGACAAGAAACGCAAAGGCAGATGCTTCATCACAAGCCCGCCGTGCACGCATGAATCACGCCAAGTCCTTCAAGGATAGTTGCCCTCCTGTCATGTTTCGGGTGCTGGAACTGGCTGCAGAGAAGGGAGCCTCTAGTTGGCTTACCTGCTGCCCGCTCCGTCGCTACGGTGTTGTCCTCAACAAGCAAGCTTTCCGCGACTCGCTTCATTTGCGCTATGGTTGGATCCCGTCTGGACTGCCCTCAACCTGTACATGCGGCGCTTCCTTCACACCTGCACACACTTTGTCCTGCCCCCTTGGTGGCTACCCCTCCATGCGTCACAACGACCTTCGTGATTTAACAGCATCCCTCCTGAAAGACGTGGCCCATGACGTGAGCACCGAACCTTCGCTGCAACCAATCACCGGTGAGACCCTGCGTCATCGCACAGCGATCTCAGCCGACGGAGCTCACCTGGACATGGCAGCATCCGGCATATGGGGTGGGCGTTTCGAGAAGACATCCGCGTCTTCAACCCTCATGCACGCTCCAACCGCCAGCAGTCACTTCCAGCTTCATACCGAAAACACGAAGCTGAGAAGAGACGCTCGTATGAGGAGCGAATCCATGGAATTGAGCGCGCGTCATTTGTGCCGGGGTAGTCTTGAGTGCATCTGGAGGATTCGGGAAAGCCGCGTCAGGCGAAATAGCACGTCATCGTACATTTGAGATCAGCGGGAAGAAGATGACGACGTCCACTAACTTAGTATCTGTGCACACGAATCTGCTGTGTGTGTGACTCTGTGTGTCAGCTATGATATCATCTTCAATGACCATTCTCGTCATTGCCAACTAGCGACGAGCCAGGCAAGCCGGATAAGGGACGAGCAAGCAGGGGCACTCAGCAAGGATCTTCTTCAAGACCTCCCCAAAACGGAACGGCGCACTCTCTCCCGCATCGTCGACGGACATGCTTCCGGCTGGCTGACCGTCCTACCGCTCCGTCAGGAAGGCTACGATATGTCCGCAACCCAGTTTCAGGATCAGCTGGCAATCCGCTACGGCAGGCAGCCCAACTCTCTTCCATCTCACTGTGACGGATGTGGCGCCCCATTCACCTTGCAGCACGGCCTTGACTGCCATAAGGGCGGCCTTGTCAAGAGAGGCCACAACGACCTCCGTGACAGTGATGCCAAGCTTGCCGACATTGCCTTCGGCGGCGTCACCATCGAGCCGATCCTCATCCCGGAACAGGACAGGAATGGTCGGCCTATGCTCCAAGCGGACTGGCTCGCTCGCGGAGTATGGGAAGGCAACCGGGTGGCGTTTTTCGATAACCGCATCGTAGATGCTGACGCACCCAGTTATGCCAAGGCCAACCTGTCCTGGAATGCCACCGCCAACAAAGCAGCTGCAGCGAAGAAGAGGAAGTACAAGCATGCCGCTGAAGAGCTACGAGGCTCTTTCACTCCTCTGGTGTGTTCCACTGATGCTGTCCTCCACCGCGAGTACAGTGCGTACCAGAAGCGTCTCGCCAGCCGCTTAGCAGCGAAATGGGAGAAGCCCTTCTCTGCCATGATGGCTTGGGTGCGCGTGCGCACTCAGTTCGCCATTTTCAGCGCCGTGGACATGCGTCTGCGAGGCTCCCGTCGCCGTCTTATGGGACTCTCCGTACATGACGGTGCCGGCGTTGGAATCGGCCACTGAGTCATGTTCTCGTTCTGTTTTTCTAACTTATTATACCGTTTCACTGATGGTCCTTTATCCCTGTCTTTTTCTCACTGAAGCTCCTCATTGTTGTTCTTTTTTTTTTTTACCAGGCGTGGGCCATCCCCTGATTTCATAGGTGCCAAACATTTTTACGTTTTTCAAAAAATAAATGATTGTTGCGTGTAAAAAAAATCTTCTGTGGTTCTATGCTAGCATGTACGTCTGAACCAGGGAGTAGTAAAATTTACTACTCCCTGGTCTGAACCATCCTGCAAAGTTTGAATGACGTAGGTTGAGCGATCGCTCCGCGAAATTTACTTTTTGAAATTCTCTTCATAGTATATCTTCCACCATTGAAATTTCGAATTTTGTCGTATTTTTGGCTGAGAGGGGTGGCTTGCAACCTCGATATCGCTTGTTCCAGGCATGCTTTGGAGCCATCTTCTGTTGAAATAGTGGCGGGAACCTGCCCTGCAACTGTTCCAACAGGAAATTAATCGATCCGAGAAAGCGCGAGTCCGCGAAATCCGGTTGAAAATGGAGTATTTCAAGCCTTTCCAGACGAAGATGGAGTTCTTTTCGGAGATGGACGCCGCTGAGATGGCAACAGATCTCTGCCGCCTGGCTTTGCCAGGACTGATTTGTTCCATCGTTTTCTTTTGTGCCTTTCGTGATGCTGGCAGCGGCATGACACTTGGGAAGCCTGTGGGCAACGTCCACATCCCCCACAGGCTTCTCATTCACTGGCACACGTGCCATGAAGATACCACACCACGGTCGGAGTACATAGCTGCTCTCAACAAGACACTGAACTGTAAGTCAGAATGTATTTCATCTTCATCTTGTCTCTGAACAGGGCAAATGAAATTTATTCATTCTACATGTATTTCATTTTCATGTCATTATAATGCAACAGGTGGCCACATACTGGATGAAAACAATATAGCTTTGCAAGACAGACTATTCAAGAATATTTCGAGGGTAAGATTAATTGCATTTATCTTCAGGCCAGATGTGAACCCACAGACACGCACTACATGGACACACACACACACCACACACACACACACAAACCATATACTAGCCCGTCACAAGAGAAGCACGCAAATCTGCAAATGCACTGGATGTGCAGACGTGCGCGTGCAAATACGCGCACACACACCATATACACGCCTGTCACAAGAAAAGCACGCAAATCTGCAAATGCACTGGATGTGCACACACAGATGCGCGCCTACACACACACACACACACACACACACACACACACACACACACACACACACACACACACACACACACCATGTACACGCCCGTCACAAGAGAAGCACGCAAATCTGCAAATGCACTGGATGTGCAGACGCGCACGCACACACATCACATACACACACACGAGGGCATGCACACATATAGCAGTACACCGGTGCCGTGATTCAAATTGAACAATAACATACTTAGAGAAGCGGGCCACAGTGAATGAAACAATAATGGTGATTTGCATGCCATCTATTCATAAGGCTCTTTTGTCCGTATGTGCATGCGGGCATGTGTACATGTACAGGTGTTTGCAAAGTATAGCAAGAGTACCGGTGGAGATAAGAGAAAACGAATATATGATGGAGAGTGCAACATGGTTATCTGTGCGGAAGAGATCATTTCGACGAGGGATAAGATGGAATCTCTTACCATGCAACTGGACACAGCAAAGAAACTAAATGAAGCGAAAGAGCAGGAGCTAAAAATATTATATGCACAGATAATTGAGGAGAGGAAACACGCCGAACAAAAAACACAATTAACAGAAAAGGCGAAAGAATTCACGGAATTCGCCAACACAGGAAAGCCGGTGCATGAACTGAGAATAAGGCAGCAACAGAGAAAAAAGAAAGAAATACAGAATAAAGCCCAAAAAGCACTATGGTTCTTGGAATCGTTCGGCTTCCGCCTAACATCAATGGATGTTACGTGCACAGCAACCGCTGAGAATGTGTCGGTGACCTTCGACAAGGAGAACATTGCAGAACCAAACGCAGCAAACACAGCAGCAACAATTGAAGACCGTTATGAAAAACTCAGTGAACAGTCCAAAACCGATATCAAAAAGGTTCTCTTCCTTTTAGATAAATTTTCAGGCAGTGATGAACTGTATCACGAATTTACACAGTTGTACAACAATATGCCACGGTCATACATGGTTGCCCATTATCGACGAAGAATGAATGCCTCATATGATATCCTGAGCCTGCCTGAACCATTTGAGGGAACAAGAATGGAGTTAGCCCCATTATTGGCTGATGACATATGTCGTCTGTTTGCGGCTGCCAACATTGAGGAGCCAAGCAATGAAACCGTGACGGTGAAGATCAGTGGTGATGGAGCACAGTTTTCCAGCACATCAAGCTTTGTATTGATGACGTACTGCATTCTCTTCGGTGCTACAAATACTCAGGCAAGTAGCAGCCATATGAGTTTCGCTGCCCTCAAAGGCTCGGAGACGTACGAGACATTGAGGGACGGGTTCAAGGATGTGTGGACGGAAATCAATGCCCTTATCAAGGTAAGCAATATAACCTACTTGCAGCATCTATGTTGTTGCTTTTATTTGTCACTAGATTAACAGGCAGGAGAATGTCATTCTTAGTATTGCAGGTTGGGGCGTAACTGGGCTCCATATTTTTAGGATTTTACCTCATGCTACTGTATTACTACTGTATTACTGTATTACTACTGTATTACTACTGTATTACTACTGTATTACTGTATTACTACTGTATTACTACTGTATTACTACTGTATTACTGTATTACTACTGTATTACTACTGTATTACTGTATTACTACTGTATTACTGTATTACTGTATTACTGTATTACTACTGTATTACTACTGTATTACTGTATTACTACTGTATTACTGTATTACTAACAGTACAGTCAAACTTGTAACCAAGAGCGGTAATGGACTCATTCACTGCTATTGTCAGCATGTGTTTATCTTTTTAAATTACATCACAGTGAATGCACAAAGGAGATGTGTTTGCATTGCTGTGTTTCATATCTTCTCACAGGACCCGACAGTGAAAGTTGGAGATAAAACTGTTCGGCTGAACATAGTCTTTGCAGCGGATTACAAGTTTCTCTTGCTCACAATGGGCATGAACAAGGCATCCGCCCGCTATGCGTGTGTGTGGTGCAAGGTGGCTGACAAAGACCGACATGACATGACAAAAGACATCAGTTTCTACAACACCGGACCAATGGCAAGGACGCATACTGACATGACAACACTTTACAAGGAGAAGACAACAGACAAACGACTAGGAAGCCACCAAGCACCACTACTCACCATTGACTTGACAAATGTCGTATTGGATGAGCTGCACTTGCTGCTACGTGTCGTGGATAGACTACTTGGCTGCATAATCTGCACTGCGCAGGCGGAGGATCAAAAACAAGGCGAAAAAAAGCAGTTGGGCACTAAGGTTAAATGCATAATGGCAACCATCAAAGAACACGTATACACTCCATTCAAGATATGGTTAAAAAAGAACGAGAATGGTCAGGACACTTCAAGTCTGGACTGGACCAGTATCGATGGCTGCATCAAAAAGAAACTCCTCGACCGGCTGCCGGAGCACTTCCCCACATTTATGGATGCAGAAACAGCAGTGGCAGTGAAGGTATGGTTCCCATGTGCCTGTATTAGAGATCGAAAGTATCGTCTTAAATTCTAGCCTACTGTAATTAACTGAAATGCTATACCAGTAAGAGACATTTAGTGGCATGACGTTTCGGAAACTTTGAAGCTGGACTGTATATCTTTCTAATTAACGCTCAAACCCACAACATCCAAGCAGTCCTTGGCCACCTGGATTGTAATTTGGATAAAATCAGTTTTTGTGGTGTAGCCAAGGACTATTTCTGTGTTGCGGGTGGGACGTTAATTAAATTCCATAACAATTATGTATTAATGTGCGTCTTTGATTTTGTAACATGAATACCTAGGTTGCAAAATGCGGTGGTGGTGCTAACATTTATGGGAAACCTAAAACTTGAAATACTCTGAATGAATGATGTGTATGTTATTTTCCTGCTTGCCTTCCTGTAGGACTTGTGGATAAATTTCATTAGTGTCCATGACCAACTGTGCAAACATGGCTCTACCGCAACTGACACGTCCACAAGCGCAAAGGCGTTTATTAATAAATTTACGGCTCTGGGTCCGGTACACCAGTCATACTTCAAAGCCAGAGTCACTCCGTATATGCACGCGATGGCGTATCACGCCCCAGGAATGGCTGAAAAATATGGAAGTCTGAAGCTGTTCTCGGGACAGGGCGTAGAGAAAAACAATTCGGACAGCAAAAGTTTCTACAGAAGCTGCAATCGCCATCATGCCGCAGTCGAATGGATGCAATTACCACCCGTGAGGCTCGCACTCACGCACGTACGCACACACACACACACACGTGCACTCACACACACATAATATACACACACTATCTTTCTCTGCCTCTGTCTCTCTCTCTTTCTCTCTCTTTCTGGCCTCGTCACCTTCACATTTAATTGGCGATCACACCAGTTGAGACATGCACTTCACGCTGACCCATCATCACCTGACTTGAGATCTTGCAAGTTGAGACATTTGTTTTAGGCTATTACCTGGCGTGCGATATTGTGGGTAGGTTCTGTTTTTGTTTCTGAATATGTGACATTATCTTCAATGTTAGTCTCAATTCTTAGCACTAGTTATGATGTTCCTGGTATATTGCCACGTTATTGTTATTACCTTTTTTTCTGTAGTTATATTGTTGTTTTGTTCACAGGAGTCACATATCCCTGAAGATGCCCTCTTGGGCAAAAATTTGGAAAGGAGTTTGAAGTTTGGTTTTGAGAGATTTGGAGAGACTTTGATTTTTTTTTTTTAGCCAAGGACTTTGTGCGGCCGTGGGCGGTGAAAGAAAATTAGAAATCATGACAAGGCTACAGAGGAGTTACGCCATCCTTATTATAATAATAATAATTATATCTAGGGTTTCCATTATTATTTGCCATGGCGACCCCCGTAAGTCCACATAAATGGCAGGGCAGGGTTAGGCCTTTTTTCTTTTTCTGCGAGTCTCATTATGTTCTGTTAACATGTTGCCCGTACAAGATGCCGATTACAAACGGGGAAAAAAGGAAAAAAACCGATCGAGATGGGTGCGGTACCGGTACTCCCTAGTAGGCCTTGGCGGATAATGCTCGAAAAGGTGGCAGATTCTGCCCGAAAAGCAGTGAAATTGGCAGAACCATACAAACCTTATGGCGGGCAATTCCTCGAATTCTGCTCCATTTCTTTATCCACATACCAAACATGCATGAAACTTACCAGAAAAAGTACCGAATTCTGCCAATTTTTCTGCCGGCATTATCCGCCAAGGCCTACTCCCTGGTGCCAAGCAGGGATGAAAAATGGGGTTTCAATCTTTTCATGACTGCACCTGGCCTGGCCGCACCTGTGCAAAGACGGCTTTTACTGGGGGAGGGGGTGTACTCACTGGTATTTACATGAGAACATTGTACCCAGCTCTACAGTTGAAATTACATTTGACCTGACTTTAACCTGTGGGAAGAGATCATAAGCACTACTAGGTGTTTGGAAAGGGCAAATGTTCCTGGCAAGGGGAATTATCCAACACCGTGGCACCGTCATGAAGATAGATCAACGCCATCCATGATTTCATGACTTCTTCTGCAAGTTGTGACCTGACTTGGGTCAGCTGAATGAAAGAATCCAGAACTGAGTCCATAAACAAACGTTAGAAGTCAGCTAATAATAATAATAATAATAGTCACAATTCTAGATGTAAATGCACTAGGTTTTGTGAAGGAAGAAATAGTGTGAAGTGCTAAGTCACTGTGCGCCTAGCCTCTGTGCGGAGAACTGACAAGTGATGATCTATAAGTTTTTAGTCAAAAATTCAAAAATGGATCAATGCAAGGGAACTTGAAAAGACCAGCTTATCAGCACAGGACGTGATGTTAAATACCACTTGGTTAATCGATACAAACACTTGAAAAGAATAAAGCAAAGATCTAAGTTGTAATGATACGTGACAGCATGCCAATACACTCCATACAGTACATGTGGCACATTAATTTGGTGGCCACACGAATAACGTTAGCAACGTCTATGCAATGCCCGGCACATCTAAATCGTATACCCTTATGTAGTATGCAGCATTCTGAACTAGACGACACTGCTTAGGGTAATGGCCAGCCAGAGTGTGCAGGAATACAACTACATGTATACTAGAACTGTGGCCAGTACTGAGTACATGCATGCACAACGAGCAGCTGCAGCACACTCACAATGCACACCAAAGTAAGAAACAACAGTACAGGATTGCTCCAGGGCTAAACTGTGAGCAAGTGCTGGTCATATACAAAGTACAGGCAAAGCAGATATAAACTACAACCATAGCGTACGAATTCTTCTAGGACGAGGAAAACCAGTACACAAACACACACACACACACACACACACACACACACATGTGTGTGACCGCACATATTTACTGCTGCTGGCATTGCTGAGTATCATCCTGGACCACTGTGTCGTTCTGCCAGTCACCCAGGCGAGTGCGGAGTGAACGGCGGCGATTGGGTTGCAGAATACCAGGACGAGGAATATCTCCGCTTGCTGCTGCCGCTGGAGCTGCCGCTGGTCCGGAAAAGCGGACAGACTTGCGGCGCTCACTTTTCTTCTCATCTCCTGGTACACATAAATACAAAAACCAATACACCATCATTCCTCGCACTCTGTCAGAATTTGCTCATGCAAGAGTTAGAATACTGTTGCCGTACCACAGGTACATTCCCTCCCTTCAGGAGGAATAGAAGATAGGCAGAAGAATAAGATGCATTGGAGTTGGGCTAAATGGGCTTCACAAAAGGACATTTGCAATGTAATGTATCTAGCAATGCCCCAGAGCAATACAACATTCTGAATACCAGTCACAGAATAAGTCAGCGAAGCAACGTACTTCGAAGTACAATTCTCTGGCATTCGCATAGCTGGGTACAACTTGTACTAATAACAATGATGCTTGAATATAACGGACAACTTTCCCCAAAGAAGGTTTGCATCACGCTGCATCACGCATTGCAACAAGAAAGTTGAGCAAAGCCCAACTTCTGCTAACAGTTGCAGCAGCAGCAGCATGAGCATGATTTATAGGGGGGTCCCAGTTTTGCAGCTGTCATATTGCAAAATTGCTTCTGTGAATCTCGCTTCACCCCCCAGCCTGCCGAACAGCAGAAGTACAATAATCAATGCCGCTGCTACCTGCGCACAGGAACAAGTAAATTTCCTCTAGAGCAAATGTACTGCAGTACATACACGTAGGGCTGCAGACCGCCATTTGCATGGTCCGCAGTTCAGAATCGGACTGAAGCAAATCACAAGCACTGCACTCACCCTTCTCTGATCGTTGGCGTTCGGAGTGTCTTGGTTCGTCTTCATCACCAGGCTTGTTACACATGGCGCCGTGTCCAAGATCTCTCTTACTCTGCTGCTCACGGCGGTCGGCTTGGTTATCATCGCCAAGTGGTCTACGTGTGACCAGTGCCGACTGCAGTAGGCGCGGTGAGCGACGCCGTGCCTGACCGCCGGCCGACGTAACATTACCACCCTCTTCGTCGGTCGACGACACGGCAGCATCGGAGTGGATACCACTAGCCATGGACATAGACACGATAGATGCAGACGTTTGGTCATAGTCCGTGGCCGCCGGCGCAGTCACCTCTGCTGATGCCGTCGTCGATGCCGGGCTGCTTGCCGGAACGGGGGCGCGAGTTGGCTCTCGACTCTCGCGCAGCCGGGGTTCCCGGACAGCACTGCTGAGCGACGGTGGTTGTGTGGCCGCTGTTGGCTTGGCTTGTCTGGATAGTGTAGAACTGTGCAGTGCGGAGTCAACCATGGACGTGTTGGTGGTTGATGCCGCAGCTATAGTGCCAGTGCTCCTATACAGCAACATCACACCATGACAACAACAAGAACAAGACTGATAGGTATGCAGGAATTTAAGAAAGGGTACGCACATCCACCATGACAACAAAAGCATGATGTTTGCAAAGAGATTACACAATTAGATGAACCTCGCCTTTGCCAAGACCCACAAATGCATGTCAAAATCATGATTATAGTGCTCTTACCTGTTGACAGCTGACATTGCTGTTGTGGTGGCTGCTGTTACTGAAGAAGTTCCAATGGTGGCTGCAGCACTTGCTGCTGGTGTGCTCGCAGGTGTATTCGCCTTTTGCATTTGGAGCCTGCGGCGAAGATCCCGATTCTGGCTCTCGAGACGTTTGTTCTCAGCCTCCAGCTGGCTGCAATGGATCTAAAACGACCAAGATACAATCAAAGCATGACTTTAATACTGTGCCAGGATGGGAAGAATGGGTGACTCATGCAACCCACAGTTATGCACCCATTCAAAATCAACACTCAAGGTCATAAAATAACTACTACTAAGTACAGGGCTGGGCAGTGAATGTTCTGTGCAGTGAGCCTAGCAGCCCTCGACGGCCTGAGCAGTAGAGCTCGTGATGTGCGTTGCCAATTGTCAACAAAAGCTACTCACTACAGTGCAGTTCTGAAGCCAAGGGTTAGGTTTCATTAGCCTGTGCCCTAGCTGCATACAGCAGTCACTTGTGGCACACTACTAGAGTTACAGCATTGGCAACGCTACAAGCAAAAGCACAGTAATGTGTACCTTGAGAGTGAAAGCTCCTGCTTCGGTCACGATGGATTTCGTATCCAGACCAATACCAGCGAACCTCGGTGCGCCTTCTTCTTTACCAGCTGAGCAGTACAGTTGCAGCAAAAGAAATAAGGGCGCAAACGCAAACGCACACACACACACGTACACATGGAAGTATACAAACATGTTTATCATCCGTCAGCTGTGGTGTACACTACCTTCTACTTCAGAAGTATAATTATGTACAGCAATAGAAAGAGCACAGTTATTGGCTAGAATAACACTATAAAACAATAAGGGTATTTTTCTAATGGTAAGGAAGTATTGTGCATAGTATGTACGCTGTGCACTGTGCGTGATGGTGATATGTACTTACTGATGGTAGCCTTCCTCTTCAACATATCATTCTCAGCCTGCAAGCGCTGAATGGTTCTCTCCAACTCACCAAGGCGAGCTTTCAGCCTGGACACATCGGCAAGAACAGCAAAACACACACACACATAGACACACACACACACACCTTAGTTTTACAAGTTTAAGTGACAGCACTGTACAGATGCTCCAAAGAATAATAATAAATATTGGCGTAACCATGAGGCGGATCGGGAATCAGGACACAGTCGAAGTCAGGTGGCCATTTCGGTACAGATCAGGCAAAACAAGAACACTGAAGTTGACGGAGTGGAATTGTATTCTGGTCGATTCGTTGACTACATTGTAGAGTAGGTGCAATCTGTGAAAGTCATAAATTCATTATCACCCGATGAATGGTACAACAGAGTTTGACCACTACCAACACTTCTGTTGCTGGTACCAGTCGCAAGTCTTTTGAGTATCGCAAAGCCGCTAGATCGCGTGACAGAAGCGTACAACCGAAAAAAATGCTCGGTGTAACGGGCAGGCACAAGGATGGTTAAACAAAGATACGTTGAGGATATCTCAATTACAATTTTTTGATGCAATGCTCGGCAAGCCGCCTATGATACAATGCAGCCATTTCTGATGCGGTGGAGATCAACCCTGTCTTGTGAGAAAATTACAGAAAAACAAGTGTATGCACCCCTCTTTTCTTTTGTTCATTGGCTTATGCGAAGGCTAGCCAAGCTTGCTTGGTGATGTCAACGCGAACAAGCATGATAATAATAATGCACCGAAAAGGACTTCAACGGACATAAGAAGTGTGAACACACACTACAGTGTATTATATCATACATTGTGAGCTTGGATCGAGTAGCAGGCGAGGTGCTTTGTTGTTGTGTGCTTGAAGTTGTTGTTGCTTGTTGGTCCAGCCGAGACTGTTAACATGATAAGCACAACACACATACACACACACACAAACACACACATACACACACACACATACACACATACACACACACACACACAAATACACACACACACACACAAACACACAGATACATAGGCATACACACAAACACACAGAAACATAGACACATGTACACAGACACCATACACACACGCTTGTAGTTACTCAGAGCCAGAAACTTGGTCACTTAAGTCTCCCCAGAAGAGGGGAAGGAGATTCAAAAGGAACCTTCGAAAGATGACTCAATTGGCTCAATGTGCAGTAGTATGTTCTGACCCTGGATCCCCGTGATATTTGAGCATTTTCAGCACTGTTATGAAACGATGTATTGGTTTCCTGTGTGATGACATTCCCCAAACTGTCTTCGTCTAGTCACGTGCATGTGTGATATGAGCATGCGCGATGTTGTAGTCGATAGCCCTTTTGTCAGTCTTGTTGTTCGTCTCTTTGAGTGTAGTTTGCTATTCTATTGTCGTAGTCCCTTGTCTTAGTGTCAAGAATATAATAACGTAAACAACAAATACTTGTCCTTTGTGCCCTGCGTCCTGGGAAACGGAATGGCTGTGATTCCGTAACAGCACACTGGGTCCATCATTCTTGAAAAGGCAAAGTAAAATGCATAATTGAAGACGTCCACATGCACATGTGGGACAAACTTACCTGCATTTCAGCTTGCATCTTTTTCATGTCTAATATTTCCTTTTGTAGATCGCGCATCTGATTATCCTTTGCACCAAAGAGGAAAAAGTAGAACCACACAGTGGCACACACACACACACCAAAACACATGACGTGATGTAGTAAGACCATGAGCACCACCAGAGCTGTACACGTGTACTTCACGCATAAACACTCATGTGTGCTTCAGTCACGGCTGTTAGCTGCACTTGGATCGCGGCAACTTACTTTTCTGCACGTGAACCATGAAAAATCAATGCATTCTCATGCATAACCAGTCAGCTGGCCTGCTCGCCCACGCATTTGACAGGTAACAATTCCATCAAATTTGAGATATCGCTTCGTTCTAAGTCTCAAAACAGTTCTAAAGTCACCAAACCACGCTGGTAATCGATGGCTATTCAATGTTAACATCTTCAGGAAGACTTCAGCCGTTTCCCGAGAGTTTGGGCATCGTTGCCGTTATTTTCACGGTGTTCTTCTTCCTCCTGTCTGGAGCTGCAATTGCATCCTGGAATTATTTGAAAGGCATTTCGTGCGGGCTGTGGGGGGTTCCAACAGGCATAAACTGACATCGCTATAGGATAACTGGTAACTTTCACCCTTCAAGGAGGTAGAGCAATGAGAATTTTTTTGTGGTGGTCGTCCAATTTTTGTGGCGGTCGTGGCTGTATTTGTGCACTTCCAAGGCTTTCATTCTGCCTGATACTACTCTCTGCTGTATGGGAATCGTGTTTAGGCACATGTAGCTGTCTTATTTGGTAGATCTGCTGTTTTCAATCACTTGGGACACTTTGTCTAGCCTATTTGTCTTTCGTTCGTGCCATCTATCAGTTTTGTGGGGTGCCCTGGCCTGTATTTGTGAAGTTCTCGAGTAAAGACCCTAATTCTTGACTGGAGTCACGACTTGAATTGTATTTGCTGGGCGAGCCCTCGTTCACGCAGTTGTCCTTATCGTAATAGTCAATATCTGCTTGCTGGGCGGACTAGCGGCTAGAATAGGGATGACCAAATGGTCCAAGTGTGTGCTAGTACACGATTATTGTTTTCATCATCGTGAAATGAGCGTTGTGGAATTGCAGTCGTCTGCCTTTGGCACTGAGGACACGAGGAGAGTTGATTGTTACTTCTGCTTAGCAACGAAGCGGTCATCAGCTCTCTTTGTTCTAATTATTGAGAGGACATACCGGCATCGCAATCAAGTAAAGATTAGGCAAACCTCGCCAACCTCCAAAGAGAGTCGAAGATAATATTTTCTCCAAATGCAAAGACGATCTTTGTGAGTTTGTGACTTGCATTTGCGTGCATACATGAGCAAGTCACGGACCACGGCACGTGCGCTGTTACCATGCCATCTCGAACCGACGCCATCTTTCTAAGTTGCCGCTTCTTGACAGCCGTGCAGTGCAAAGACTTAAGGACTTTTCGCACAAATACCCGGATATATATGCCCCCCCCCCCCCCCCCACTCTCCCGTTTCTGGTTCGATATTTGATGCATGGAAGGTTGACGCATAGCCAGTGAAATGCGATGACCCCGAGGTCTGAGTGAAAGTTGGGAGAACACTACTAAAATGAAATGGATTGCCACTCGCGATCTCTATACCCCCCCCCCCCCCCCCCACACACACACACAGCTGAAACAGGCAAGAGGCAGCACCTGTACTCACAGAAAACTCAGACGCATTGCAACAGACCCTGGCCATACGTACAGTGCATACAGATGCAAGTTTGGGCACACATCACACAAGGCGTTTTGCTAGTGTACCTGTTCCTTTCTCTTGGCGTCATTCGTCTCGACTTCTGCCGTGAGCTCTCTATCTGCATCGTCAATGAAACCCTTGAGGCGATTGATCTCTTCCTACACAGGAAGATAGACATTATACAGCGAGGAAAGTCACAAGGCATGACCGCACAGTCAGAGTTTCAAACAGGAGACGGCAGGATCATTTTATTTCATTTGACAACAATCAAGTATATACCCATGGTAACGTTACACACACACACACACACACACACACACACACACACACACACACACACACACACACACACACACACACACACAAACACACACACACACATGCAGACGAGTGCACTTCAAAGAATAAAGTGGTCACGACAGAACACAGGATTACCTCGAGTGCCTGGTTTTCAGCTTGTTGCGTCTTGTACGTGAGCTCCAGTTTCTCATTCTCAGCCAGCACGTTACTCAGCTTGGCTTCCGCCCCTTGCAGCTGATGTCGATAGTCTTCAGCAACAGAGTTCTGAGTACTCGTAACAGAAGCAGCGCGTTGTTGTTCCAGCTCTCGCTGTGAATGAAACACACAAGTACACTATTAAGCGGACCACCGTGCTATGATAAGCTCACCAAAATGCTGGACACCATCACTAAACAAACTGTGTGTTCAACAGCCGGAGATATGAGCGGAACTCAAGTCTACATCTGCCACGTAGTCACGGCAGAGAGGTCGGATGGCCCACTCTGGTGTTTTACTCTTGGCACAAGTGACAAATCACTCGACTCTCCCAATTGGTGACCATGACGTTGCACCAAATGAGAAGATGTGTGTGCCGACAAACAAGGATTAGCACAATAGTCATGCAGGATTGGAGGATTGGAGTATGGAGTTCTTACAGGCAGTCCAACGGTAAAAGAGAAAACTTGATGCGCCAGCGGCAGGATTTCTCTAAAACACGAAATGTAGTGATCCCGAAAAGCTTGACCCGATGATTATGTGCTAACGTGGGAAGGGGAACCGCAAAAACAAACCTGCAACTCGGCATGACTCGCCATCGTGTTCGATATTTGCTTCTGAAGACTGTGGATTTGCTCATTCTTCACACAGAAAGCACAAAAAAGAAAACACTCACGGTTAGAAACCAGATGGATTCTCATAGCATGCATGAATTATTCGGAATCAAAGCACATTAAAACATCTGGCACATTCGTGCCAGGCTTAGCATATGCAAATAATAAGACAAGTATTACCAAACCAGACAGCTTTGTATAGCAATTGAGAATCATGCAGCAGTAGCAAATTGGCCATACCTGCTCCTTTTGCTTGATATTGTTCTTCTCTACTTCTTCAGCGAGCTCATTGTCCACCTCATCGATTATGCCCTGAAGACGACCAATTTCTTGCTGATAACAGAAAGAAGTCGAAGAAGAGGAAAACAGGAACAGAGGCAGACCATTGTCTTCCTTGGCTTGAAGCACATACCATGGCGTTCCCTAAGTCTGATCATATGCATGCTATCTGTGGGCACCCGGGCTAAACGCATTATGATTCAGACCGAATGCCATGCTAGGCACACTGCTGGTGATCACACAGGACTAATGCAACAGAAGTACTCGGTAACACCTACAAGCACACATGCAAGGAAGCAGCCAGCACTGGTCCAGCCGGTAGATTGCCGGTTGGGCTAGGCTGCCATTGGTTGGCTTTTGCACCCTAGCATCTATATGCGTCTATTCCTGTGCCGGAAAAAATCAGTACATGCGAGAGCCAGAGGAATACGACAAGAAAGAGAAGAATCATAGGTGGCTGGTGGTGCACAACCAATCGTGACACCGAGGAAAAGGCTTGCCATCACCTACTTGAGATTCAGAATGATGCTGAGTTAGGCTTGACAATTGGGCCTGCAAATCACTGAGGGCACTTTCCTATTGATGAAAACAAAAACAAGAGACAATGCGATAGAAAACCAATTTTATGAGCACAAAAAAAACAAAACAAAAACAGTACGATCTCACCCGAACAGACTGCTGTTGTGTCAAGAACTGAGAGCAAGGAAGTCGTTTATTTTACAGACATGTGAGTGTATATAGAGTGAAGAGTCAGGGGGCCATGCCCAGTAGAGCATGGCATCGTGTGTAGTACGGAGTAGTGCGAGGTCACGCACCGTCTATACGTGGCGACAGACAGGGGCCGTGAATGGGTGAAAGGATAAGTAGATACAGGATAGGACAACTGCCACCACGAGGCCATGGTATTGAGAATCCCAAACTCTGTTCTCCAGAACCATGTTGATGAAACGGGAAACTGTAGATGCATGCACTCATCACTATCATGCAGGGATTCGTAGATCTGCAGAAAAGTACAGTCCTGACACGTCAACTTGTCCACAAGGATAACTAGCCAAAGCACCTCACCTGATCCTGTGCTGCAGCTTGCCCTTGAGTGGCAGTTGAAAGTTGTTGCCTGAGATCATTGATGGTATCCTCCTAGAGGCAGTTGGAGCAGGATGAAAGCAGATATTGTATGTCAACGTTCTGGTTATGATAGCTATACTATGTTGCTGCAATAAGCAGTAGAATGACGTGCAATACAGTCTTGTTTCGCAAGACAACGGGGAATAGCAAAGGCAGCTGCGCAGGATCAGAATGGATTACTAACCTGCTCCTGCCGAGCACGTTTGTTCTTCTCCGATTCTTCAGAGAGCTCATTGTCCACCTCATCGATGATGGTCTGTAGTCGAAGGACCTCCGCCTATAACCAAAGTCAAGCAGTAACACATGAACGCATGCAAATGTTAATATTGGATAGACTGGTTTGGGCGGGAGGACCCAACTTCATGAGAGTGGTAGCCAGAATGCTGAACACACATGTTTACACACATTGAACTGCAGCACAATGCCTTCAGGTGGTACTTCCCGGTCGCATAATGCACCGAAGACATCTGTGATATTTAGTGCATGTTTCATTCAAGGGTCCACTGTATAGAAATGCCGGTACAACTGATCCCTGCCACAGGGCCTGAATGGCACACATCTGCCCAGGGGCAGCCCAATGCTTAAAAATGCTTACGGCCTGTGTTTGCTGGTCGCTTTTATGCTGCTGGCACGCAGCTTCTAGCTGCTGATTCTGAGATCTGACACTATTCAGCTTCTCCTCTGCTTCCTGGCACTGGCGCTGCAAGTCTTCAGAAACAGCATTTTGCGTTCTCTCAGTGGTTTGTTGCTCTAGCTCAAGCTACAGAGGGGTGATAACACAGAACAGAAAAGTAGAAAGCAGAACTAACTAAGAGAGGAAGAGAGCGAGAGAGAGAGAGAGAGAGAGACAGAGAGAGAGACAGAGAGAGAGAGAGAGAGAGAGACAGAGAGCGAGAGCGAGAGAGAGCGAGAGAGAGAGAGAGCGAGAGAGACACATGTCTGTCTTAAATTAAGGTAGCTCAAACCTTTTCAAAAACTTGTCTTTTGGACAGGTTTCTGCGCAGGCCGGAGGCAAAAATTACAACTGCAAGCTGGTGGTCTTAACTTGAAGTTTTGAGCAGAATTACAGCATCAACTGGTTTTCAAGTGCCCACTCAATCATCTTGAATCTGTTCTCAAGGAGCTGCTGGAGTTTTTCCTGATTTGAGCCAGTTGTCAAAAGGACGAAGTGGATAGAGATGTGATGGGCTGACACAACCCCAAGGGTTTACGTAACCCCATGGGCCGATGTAAACCCAATGGTCCATGTAAGCACATGGGCCAATGGCGATCATCAACTGAAAAAAAGCTGAATAATCTCCGTCCGATCCAAACCCAAACTACAGTTAATTTGAGAATTCATAGTTACCTGAAGCTGAGAGTATTGCTCAGACACATCAACAAGTTGCTTGCTCAGGTCGTCAATCCTACTCTCCTGTGCAGTAGTGTTGGAAATGATCAAAACACAGCACGTGTGTACAAGAATGTCAGATTGGGAACTCCCCCGATAAGCATCCATTTACTTTTGGAGAATCCTTCAAATAAAGTCTAAATGAGTCTAAATGAGATCGAGGAAAGGCTGAATATCGAAAGCTACCAGTCGTCTCAGGAATGGCGCCTGGTTAAATGAACAGATGGACATGATGATACAGCATGCTCCACCACATTGCTTTCTTGCATGGCAACACTGAGGCACTGACTCAAGTGTTGCCGTTCACAGTACCACTAGCAAGACGACAGGGCAGCAGGGTCTTTGTACCACTTACACACGTTTCCGAAACCATTCAAAGAAACTAGCAAGTGAAACACACAATGCGCACTCACCTGCTCCCTTCGCCTGGCGTCATTCTTGGCCACTTCATCAGTCAGCTCGCTGTCCACCTCGTCAACAATTCCCCGAAGTTTAGCTACTTCCTCCTGATAGCCAACAAGCACAGCATCAAAGCATCACTTCAAAATTGTATTCCAAAGTTGTAAAGTAACAGCAAACAGTTCAACACATCCTCTGGCACGTCTAAGGTGATATTGCACGTAAACCGGCAAACCAGGGGCTGTGGATTTTCACTGTACTGGCAAGGAGGTTTGCAAGCACGACCCTCTATCGACCAATGCAACGGACCTCCAACTCACAGGGAAATACTCGACAAGAGGCTATGCTCCAAGCGAGGTCTAAGGTGCATACATAGAGACTGTGCTTCTAACACCACTCTACTGCAATAGAGCTTTCAAACATGGAAGCAAGAAAACCTCCGTGCACAAAAGGTGAAGAGTGCTGATACAAATATGATAGAAATACATGTACTTGCATTCAATAGCAATTATGTGTACACTCACAGCTTGAGACTGCACGTTGAGTTTCAGCTGTGTACAGTCAGCCTCTAACTGCTCCTTTTCGGTTGACGTCTCTTTCAGCTTGATCTCAGCATCGACACACTGCTGTCTCAACTCAGCAGCGTGGGATTCCTGGCCGCTTCCAAGCGTATTGAGCTCGTACTGCAAGCGCTCGCATTTCTCTTCGGATTCCTGGAACTGCTTCTGCCAGATTTCGATGAGCTCAATGTGAGCAGCGATTGATACCTTCTGCTCATTGACTTCGCTGAGCAGCTTCTGACACTGCTCCTCCTTCTCCTGGCTTTGCGCTTGCCAACCCTTGGCACGGTCGACATGGGTGGCAACCACTTGCATCTGCTCATCTAGCTTAGCCTGCAGGCGCTTGCATTGCTCCTCCATTGGTTGATAATGATTCTTCTGCCACTCATCACTTGCTTCCTTCAAGTGCGCAGACTGCGACTCTCTCAGTGTGTCAAGCTCAGCCTGCAAGCTGTGGCACTGATTCTCAGCCTCCTGGCACTTTTCCTTCAGACGACTGACGGAGTTGCCTTGGGATGTGCACACATCCTGCTGCTCCTTCAGAGCATCCCTGGCTTTCCGGCAATCCTCTTCCATCTGCTGGTATTGCTGTTGCCACTGCTCTACAACATTTTCATGCGACGCAGCAGCTTCTTGAAGCTTTTGATTGACATTGTGCAAATTCTCCAGCTTATTCTTGGTTTCCTGCTCCTGTTGTTGCCATTGCTGCTCCATATCCTTGGCATGTGAAGAAGATGTGTCTTTCTGCACTTGTAGCTCGCTCTGTAGACTCTGACATCGCTCCTCTATATCCAAGCACTGTTGCTGCCATTGCTGAACAAGTTCATTTTGTGTCGCACTGGTTGCTTTCACCTGATCGAGTTCTTGTTGCAAAGAGCTGCATTGCTGCTGCGCTTCCTGCCACTTTGTCCGCCAGCCATTGCAAGCTTCATCCTGTGCTGACGCTGTGTGCTTCTGCTGGTCAAGCTCAGCCTGCAGCTGGCTACATTGACTGTCAGTTTCCTGCCACTTTTGCTGCCAATGGTTGCAACGCTCATCTTGCGCTGCAGCTGACTCGGTCTGTTCCTCCAGCTTGCTGAGCAGCAGCTGACATTGCTTGTTGCTATCAGTCCACTGTTGCTCCCAATGTTTGGCCTGATCAGATTCGCAGATAGATTCCTTCACCTGATCCAGTTCACTCTGATACTGCCGACATCTTCGGTCGGCGGCCGACGCGGTCTCCTGCAGGTGCATCATGGAGTCCTTCAGCTGCTCGTTGTCAGCCGTCAACTGTGCCAGCTGCGACTTGGCTTTCTCTAGTGCCGACTCCAGCTGATACAAGTCTTTCTCGGGCGCAGATGCCGGTTGCGAGTGTGCGTTCAACAGTTCTGCTTCTTTAGCAGCAAGCTGGGATGCTAGCTGGTCACACTTTGATTCGGCCTCCTTCAGTTTCTCTTGCCAGCAAGTGCAGACGTCATGCTGAACGGCAGCTTGCTCTTCTAGCATAGTGTTGACAGTGGTCAGGCGATTGCACTTCTTGTCCAGTACTGCACAGTCAGACAGCAACTGCTGGCATTGCTCCTCTAGCTCGATGCACCTGTCACGTAGCTCTCCGGCAGCATCTCCACTACCGCACAGTCCTGCCGCTGGTACTGATTCTGATGATTTGAGCAGTTGGATTTGTTGTCTCATTTCACCAGATTCCCGTTTCAGCTCGGCAATACGCTCTCTATAGTCAGTCTCCTGGGCCATCATGGCATCCTGTGCGTCGTTCAGGAAGTTGATTTGACTATTGAAGTTCTGTTCCACTTGTTGAAGGTGATGCTGATGTTGCTTGACTACACCGTCCAGCGTAGACTCGGAGTGCTGCAATTTCGTGCCTAGCTCTGCCAGCTCACACGTCAGCTTCTGGCAGCAGCAAGGCAGCTCTTCTGCCAATTCTGGAATGACATTGCAAGTGTACGGTGGTGGCTGCTGTGCAGGAACATCCACAGGGCTCTTCAGCTTGAGTTCTAGCTCTGCCTTCTCAAACTCCAGTCTCTGTGCTTTCTCAGAGAAGTTGGCCACTTCACACTCGAGAGCTTGGCATCTGGTTTCGAGTACCGAGTGCTCATTTTCCAAGAACTCAAACTGAGATGGAGACAGGACTGAGGCACTGATGCTTAGTTTCTTTGTGCCCTGAAATTGTTGTTGCAGTTGATCACACTCAGCCTGCAAATCACAGATCTTTTGGTTCATTTCGCCCGTCTCCGCTTGCCAACTTTGCCGTTCCTCCTGATGCCGTTTAGCAGCAATGACTGTATTCTCTTCCAGACAACATACCGTCTCAGCAAGGGAGGATATTTCTGCCTGCAAAACAAGCTTCTCCTCTTCGATGACTTGTTCGTGACTATGGTCGTGCTCAGTCATTGAACCTACATCCGCTGTCAGTTTCTGCTGCTGCTGCTGCTGCTGTTGGCTGACTTCTTCTCGCTGCTTGTCCATGGCATCCCTGATCTCCTGGTCCATGGCAGCCCTGATCTCATCATGACTCTGCTGCATCTGTTGCGTCTTCAAGTCCACTTCTGCTTGCCACTTCTGTCGCTCCTGGTCGAATTCCTCGCTCTGCTTTTCCAAAGCTGCTCTGGTCTCCTGGTCATACTGTTGGACTTGCTGAGCCATAGAAACTAGCTCTGTTTGCAAGTTTGTGCGTTCCTCAGAGAATGCATGGCTCTGCTGCTCCAATGACAATCGATTCTCGTCTTCTACTTGTTGGAGCTTCTCAGCCATAGCATCCAGTTCAGCTTGCCAGCGCTGGCGCTCCTCTTCCACAAGCTCTCTACTGGCTTGCTGTTGATCGAGCTGTTGCCTCTCCTCTTCCAATGTCTGGAGCCTCTCAGCCATCGCGGAAACTTCAAGTTTCCAGCCGTCACGCTCCTGGCAGACCTCTTCAAGTTGCTGCTGGAGCATTGCTTGCTGTCCATTGTCATTGCTACCCTGCTGGGCAGCTTCCATCTCTGAAAGAAGTGCATCCTGAGCAAGACAATATAGACAACAGCACAGAGACAAGTTCAACACACGGCCAGATAAACAGCTGACCAGTCATTGGCACACTCGTGAATACAACAGCAAAGTAGACCAGCGCTGATAGCGCCACAAACACTGGACGTGCTCTCGAAAGTGGCCCTGTTATATGAGCTGTTACGTTCACGAGACAATGTTTCACCAAGCTGCAACAGGGTAGGTGGTCCTATCAGCAAATAGACTTCGTTACTAATGCACAAACATACAGCAATAAAAATTATAAAATGCAATTCACACCAAAGAAAAAAACAGTTGAGATTGGAGAGAAAAGGCAGCCTTGATAACCACAAAAAGATTACCTTCTCTTCTAGCTGGATTTCCAAATCCGATACAAGATTCCGTCCAAACTGCACGAAAAGATGACAAACGAGAAGTGAAGATGTTCTGCTTATTTAAACGCAGCACTTGCTCGTCCAGAACAAAGTGGAATAAAGGGTTAAAAAAAACAAAAACAAATACAGCTGCAAGCAAAGCACACACATACTGTAGTAAGAGACAGAAAGCGCTTTTAGGCATGGTTCAAACATGTAGGCATCACTGCTATCAGTACTTTGTATGCATCAAACACAATATGGGCCGAAGTCAGCTAAAACATGTCTTTGGGGTTTCGTAAATTTGTTGGAGACATGACGGAATGAAGAATTGTTTCTGTCGAGTGCATTAACGCTGTGCTTCATTCATCAACTGGTGGCGATAGTAACTTGTCGAACTTTGTTCTCACACTTGTGTGGTGGTCTAGTTCAAGCAGCTGGCGAGCAAAGTGACAATTTTCTGGAACAAAAAAATGAAAAAATTCACTCGATTGGTGAATCTGGATTGAGTGCGAGCAGACGATGTGGTCCGAGCAACGCTGGCCCAATCAAACAAAGGAAGGGTGTAGTACGCAAAAGGTACGCATATCGTACAAAGATTCTGCGAAAGCTGTCAAAAAACGTCAAAGCCCATTTCCACTCCAGCCACTCCCGGTGTGGTCGGATTGCACTCCAAGTACACCTACTCCGGATTCGGCCAAGTGATAAATTGTGTGCACACTAGAAAAGTCATGGCTTGAAAGTATTCAAAGCAAACAAAGTGTAAACATGAAAGAAATTAAGACCTACTGCCTCCAATTTGACCATATTCTGTTGAAGTTCGCTAAATTCTTCTTCCTGAACACAACAGAAGCAACAAAGAAGGATATTCAATCAACTTACTTCATACCAGTAAGTAGTATAAGAAAAAATCCACCCCAACTAACATCTGACGCCTGATCATGGGGTGGTGGCGTCCCATGGAAGCGAAAAGGCAGTTCTCGACCCTCCCTGTACACGAACCCGTGCACTAAAAAAAAACCATATTGTCAAGTGCCGATAGAGTGCCCCACCTTTGTGGGAATGGAATATGACTGTCCCACTGTATTGTTCTGCCATGTTGAGCTGCATTGCAGGAGCTGCTTGAAAGTGTTAAATATATGTATGTATCATACCAACCACTGAGCTATGGTGTAGCTGTCATCCAATGTGTCATACTCTTTGACCTTTTTCCAGTGTTGAGGATCAATACCCCTGTCCCGGTGTGGGCACAACACTCGTGTCATGCAAGCAGTAAGGTGTGACCAGCTCTGGGTTTGCATTGTACAGCACCTTGCAGAGATCTCTCCTCTGTCGCGCCCCACAAACATACCACAGAAGGGATTAATTCACTCTTTCCCCTTTTGATCTCCATCAGCCCAATGAATACGCCTTGGTACCAATTACACGTGACGGTCAGGTAAATGTATCCACAAACAATTGAACACAGCATAGCACGGTCTCATTGCAACATGGAGAAAGAAAAGAACAATGCAATCGCATGATGAGTGACAGTACTGCACTGAGTGGTAATGATGAATGGAGAAACGCAGCCTACCTTCTCCTGCAACGCCTGCTGCAACTCCTCATTCTTCTGATTGAGCTCCTCAATGGTCGCTGCTGTGCCCAGTGAAAAGTCGACAACACCTGCCTCGCTTTCAAACTCCACTTCTTCTCTTGACTGATTGATGCAACATTGACAAGCGAAGAAAAGTATACAATGCAGAGTTAAATCAAACCAAGCCCATACATACAATCACACAATGGGGTGTGTTACATTAGAGTCCGTATCATTGATATAATTAGGTACATGTTCTTTGTGTGAACTGCAATGCTGCACTGTTGCTTTGTACATGTACTTCCCCTTCTCTGTAGTTCCGCAGTTCTGAAGTATAGACATTACTTATGTCATTCCTTTCCGTGTGCACGCATGCGCTAGTGCTTGCATGCTACATTGTACAGTATAGTCTAGTACTCGAGTAGACCCCTGTAGTGCGTAGCATCTGCTACTATGCCACTGTGTCATGCTCTTAAAGGGGAAGTTAAGTCTGAAATCAAATTTTCACCAATTGTAGTCTTCGGGGTGCTGAGTCGAATGGTCTTGGTCCGAGGAAGCGGAGATGCTCCCTTCCTCCTTTTTTTTCCCAATCGAACTTGTGCACTCCCACCGAAACTGGGTGACTGAGCCCTACTAGATGAAGATTTGCATGCAAAATGTCACTAAAAGCGCCATGTCGTTCTTATAAAAGCACGGATGACCGCGATTGGCCCATATGTTGCAGTCTTTTGGACGCTGAGTCGACTGGTTTTGGTCCGAAAAGGCTGCGATGCAGCGTTCCTCCTTTATTCCCAATCGAACATGGTTGAACAAGCGGTCACGTGCTCCTGCGTACACCAGTCACCTCGTCACCGTGCCTGCAGGGTACAACTTACTAGCGTGTTTGACCTTTTTTGGGTGCAGTCCTGTCACTCGAGTTGAACTCGAGTTGAACCTTGGTGTGAAAGTTGTCGCCTGCTGGCACGGTGACCAGGTGATTTGGGCACCCAGGAGCACGTGACCGCTTGTTCAACCATGTTCGATTGGGAATAAAGGAGGAACGCTGCATCGCAGCCTTTTCGGACCAAAACCAGTCGACTCAGCGTCCAAAAACTACAACATATGGGCCAATCGCGGTCATCCGTGCTTTTATAAGAACGACATGGCGCTTTTAGTGACATTTTGCATACAAATCCCCATCTAGTAGGGCGCAGTCACCCAGTTTCGGTGGAAGTGCGCGAGTTCGATTAGGAATAAAGGAGGAAGGGCGCGTCTCAGCTTTCTCGGACCAAGACCATTCGACTCAGCACCCCGAAGACTACAACTGGTGAAAATTTGATTTTAGCCTTAACTTCCCCTTTAAAGTCATCACCACTACTATTACTACTCTTGCATTGATGCAGAATAGGATTCTTTGCCTCAATACATATCCATGTGTTGCTGTTGGTAGCTTGGTGTGGGCTCCCCGAGACGAGAGAACAATACACAACGATGAACATCTTCTAGATTTAACTCTATAAGTACCTTTGAGCTGACTAGGGGATCGAGCTTCTTGGAGTCGCGTCGACGTGTTGTGACCGCTGGTAGAGCAGAACTGAAATGAAGAGCGGGCAATGGAAAAGAAAAGGCATTGAAATAACTTACAAAAGGTGGCTATAAGCTGCAGCAGTCGTTTTAAAACAAAATATAGTCATTCACTGTAGTGCAAGGAGAGTGTCACTTACAATAAGGAATTAACAGGAAGATGGGGTGGAAAGAAAGGCATTTGCGACAACGAAGGCAACTATTTCAGTGTGTTTTATTGGTATCGGTGTGGCACAACAAGACAATGTCCGTTACATAACTGTATCTACATTAACTTGACCGCTACTCAAATTTCCGCCGCATAATTGTATGCACTGACTACCCGAGCCATGCTCACCCGATATTCTAACATTCACATTGGGCCCACTACTCACTTGCACGCGTGACACCGCACACCACTATACTCTATGCAGTGCGAACAGTGGCAGAGCTAGCTTACATGGAATTCCGGAAGCTGGAGGACAACACATTATTGGAGTCATCCCCACCATCTGAATCAGCCTCCATGGCATGCTTGGCAAAGAATTCTGGGCACAGGGTGTGCCGACGTTTGTCCTCCTGAAAACACACAAATAACAAATGCAGTGTATTTCACTTCTATCGCTAGGCTGAGATGCAAAAACAATAATAAGGTGGTCATTCACACCGGTACATCTGTTTTACAATTAATTTTTTTGTAATCCCAAGGACAGATGATTAATGCTGCAGCTTGCCAGCTGCGCATGTGTACAAGTTGCTATGCTCGGCATTGTTGGAAATCAACGACCAGTGTTAACAAACGATGTACAGAATGATATTAAACTGCCCTGCCAGTAAACATGTTCAATGTCATGTTACAAATAAAAAAATGGGGAAAGTGTACTACTGTAACAAAGGCATTGAACCTACCCTAACTACTGCGATAGGGTACAGAGATTCATGTACGAGCAATCTTCATAAGTTAACCCTTTACCGGTCTACCATAAGCGAATCGATACTATAGTATTGGTACGTTTGGCCCTCATTTTTTTGGGGTCTTGTTGCTAGGAGACAGCTAAAATGGCGCTCTACGCGTAGCTGAGGTCCAAGACTTTCTGATGATGTACAAAACAACCATGCTTACCATACAAATGTTTGCCGTATCGATCGACTGAAGTTTGTTGAAATTGGAAAAGACGACCATCCGCCATGCGCGCATTTCGAGAATGCGAGTGCATCTCTTGGGGCCGTGTTTGACAAGCGTTCTGAGATCAGTAACATCACCAGTCCAGGCTGGATCTGCCGGGAGGTTTTGCAGTGTAGTGTGTTGAGAAAAAGAGCTCCGTTGAGTCCTGCTAGTTCAAAAATATATCGTCCACGAATGAAGAAACAAAATTCTCCAAACAGAGAGGAAGCCTTCTTGCTGCCGACACGGCGACAGCGACTGTCACAAGGACTCGTCAGGTGCGATCAGCTGATTCGCCTGGCCGTGAGAATCACGGCATGCGTAAGCTTGCGCCTGAGTACTCATCTGAGCGAGAGTGAATCTGAAGCGAGCAGCGCTGAGATGAACAAACCGAAACTGCGAAATCGTGGAATGGGAATTGCTGCTGCTGGCGTATCGCCGATGGCGAGGTGTTGGTGTTCAATGGCGGTATTGTAGAGAGCCTACATTTCTTGTAAAGACGTAGCCCTTACCTGATTGTTTATCGTACGACTTCAGCTCCATCACGAACTTGGTATGCCCTTCGTGCTGTGATATTCGTGTATTTCAGTCGCAATTGTATTTTCTCTCAACTTGAAGGGCTACCATGGGCCCTATCCTTGCCTGGACCTAATCATATTTGAATTTTCTGGACGCGTTCAGGCATACAGATTTTGAAAATATATGGTTTACCCATACCTACATCACATGGTTCTTGAGTTATTGCTGGTTGTGTGTACATGTATTTGCGTGACCACCCCTCACATACATTGAGTTAGACCGGCAAAGGGTTAAAGTAGTTTGAGGGACAGAAGCACATGTTCAGTAGTCACAAGTCTGCTGGCACTGGAAGCTGGAAAGACATCATTACCTTGTTTTTTCGGCGCTTCACCACAACGGCCTTTGGCTGGATGATGCGTGCTTCCAATATCTTGATCTGATCACTTCTGTGTGTATCTCGCTGATGAAGAAGAGAATGTGAAAGATCAGATGAGAATGTCAGGCATACGTTGGCCTTTTTGTTAACTTGATTCAAGCAAATGGCTGCATGCACTATGTATGCAAGCTGTTTGGATCATAACTTTCGTCTCCCTTTATCACTTGTGACAATCTTAGGCTTACTGGAAAGTAAGCTCTTGGCAAGAGGAACACACTGGTGCAAAGTTCAACAGCTAGAGTGCAAGTACAGTAGAGTGCCGATTATCCACAACCCCGGGGCTGTCTCCAGGGGTTCGGATGAGGAACATGTTCGGATAAGGGAGCGACCACACATCCATCAAAAACATGCATATCCCCTCATGTTTTCATAATTTGCCTGAATCCAGTGTCATCGTAACCTACCTCTTGTTGGAGCATGGCAACCTGGCGACGCAGCTCCGCCAGCTCGCGGTGATAACGCTTGAGCTGTGCGGCTTCTGTCATGACCTTGACAAGATACAAATCAACAGGCCACACACACACGCGTGCGCGCATACACACAATATACGCAATTATACAACCTGCTAGTCAACATAACGATGTGAATGTGGAGGAAAAAACATCAAAGCCATAGTTCTTGCCGTTCATAACTCGATAGTGAGAAAGCGTGCGTTCCACGTGAATAGGCAGGCCAAATTACCACACTCTGATAACCATGCGTATCACTCTCTCAGTATTGACTCCCATTGATTTTCGCTATACCTAAGCAGTCAAATATTCCTGCATAGTTCACTCCTTAGGGCTATATTGACTGCTTATATTTGACTGCTTATGGGTTGCGCAGTTGAACGGTGCCTAGTGCAGCATGGTCATTGTATGAGTACTCAGAGTAGGTGATCAGGGTGATGGTGCAACGGTTGTGCAATCATAAAACCGGGATTCATGAGGTAATCGTTCTGGAATTTGAAATACGGACTGTTTGTCGTGATAAATCTAATATTGACTTCGTACTTGGTCAGTATAGGAAATAAAAGCCTCGTAAAAAACCTCAGCTTCGCCTCGGTCTTTTACTTGGCTTTTATTTCCTATATTGGCCTCGTACTCAGTCAATATTAGATACATATCACCAACATAATCATTTGCAATCTTCTTCTTCAAAAGTAACAAGCTTCACCTCATTGACCACTGGCTTGTTCTTGATAGTTTTGGCACGGGTAGCAAACTGCAGGCATACGTACACAAGCAACAGCAGTTGGTTCAGCGCATACACACACACACACACACACACACACACACACACACGCGCGCGCGCGCACACACATGCGCACACACACACGCGCACACACACAATACTGTTCCAGCAGTAAAGACTTTACATGTACATGTACATTGAAAGAAGTGCCAGAAAAAATACATTTGTACAGTAAATGAAGGATCATGTCTTTCGAGACCAGTCACTTTAGACCCCCAACTAACTTATATCTCAGAATGCATTTGACTGCAAAGACCTGTTTTCCATGCACCATAGGGTGGTTGCTAAAGACAGATGTCACAGTACAACGGCAGATAAATAGAAATGTAAAGCAAGTCAGTATTTTATCACCACCCCCCCCCCCCCCCCCCCCCCACACACACACACACAGATCATTGTCACTGCACGTACCCGCAGTGTGCCAATAGTCTCCTCAATACTCGCTGGTGTGGCTGCACACAAGATTGCGGTACGTGCATTGCCACCAAGTGATGTCTGCAGTATCCTGGTCAGTTTACTGTCACGGAAGGGAATGTGTGAGCTGCAAAAGAACACGCAAGTCACAGATAACAGAGACAGAGATAAGAAAACAATAGAGAAGGGAATGTCAGCAACACATGACACCTACCTTCGTTAAGACTAGGAGCTGAGGAACATGTTGGACACTTCACAATGATGCTTTCACTCAGCCCCCCCCCCCCCCCCCCACACACACCCTGTTAAACAGTGCACGCTACATATAACAGAATTCATAAGAGCAATGACTTACTGATCTCCATCTGCGATTTTGTTGATGACATTACTGAGAATAAAGAGACTTCTGTTTATAAACCCTCCTTCCTTGAGCCGCATTCCTGCACAATACACAACAGCAGATGGGAATTAGACAAGTAGCAAATTGAGCTTGAGATCTTCTGATTTTGATCTGTGCCGTGTACATGTGTGTGTGTGTGTGTGTGTGTGTGTGTGTGTGTGTGTGTGTGTGTGTGTGCGTGTGTGTGTGTGTGTGCGCGCGCGAGAGAGAGAGAGAGAGAGAGAGAGAGAGAGAGAGAGGGAGAGAGAGAGAGAGAGAGAGAGAGAGAGAGAGAGAGAGGGACGGGGAGGAGATTTGTGGAGCGGCCAGTCATCTTACCATCAGCACCCGTTGCAGACGCTCTTTCAGATCCAGCCAAGTCAACCAGATTCTGTCAAAAACAAAAACAAAATTGAAAACAATAAAGAACCATGGACTAAAACTGTACTGACACAAGCCAGATGTAAAGTCATCACTCTGCAAGACTTAGTGGTCAGCTCAAAAAAGCTGATTTGTCCGAAGAAAAGGATCATTCATACTACAGTCAGACCTCGTTTATCCGGATCCCTCGCCATCCGGAAGAAAATCGCTGGTTACCGATGTGCAGCATATGTTATGCATACAACATAACCGGACCTCGCGACCCGCATACCGGTGCATGATTTTGTGTGCAAACTGGTTAAAATGTGTACAAAAAGCTTCGTCGTATCCGGTTGCATGTGGCTGGCTAGCGATTGGAGAAGCTAGTGTCAGGGAGTTGTACAAGCAAATGAGGTCCTTGACCTGCTGGGTGTATGCGGACAGCACTCAGTTGCATGCACTTGTCATTGTTCTCCCTTGTTTTACATACTGGGCACGCTAGTTGTACTGCATAGGACCTGTCTACATGTATGTACGATGTCACAACTTTTGACATGCCACATGCATATACAGTATGTGTGTTCAGTTATCCGGTTCCCTCGCCTATCCGGATGGTTTTGTGGAAAACAGATGTGTGCGGTTAAGCGAGGTCTGACTGTAGTAGTAGGTAGAAGCAGGCCAATGCACTCAGTTCAAATAACTGGTGTCAAAGATGGACACAAAAAAACTTTGCATGTGGAACAAGAGGGCATACTCACCAAGGTTGCAACGCGAATGGCATCATCTGAGGTTTCAACGGCTTCTTCGCATTCGCGACTCTCAATAGTCTGCAACCACATGCAATCACATACACAGAAATATATTGAATAAAACATCTTGCTAAGCTGTGTGTGTGCCAGCAGCCGGGGACATGAAACAATGACTTCCAAATGTGTGGTGTTTTGTCAAAGTGTCAGAGTGAAAAACAATGTTATGAATATTGGATAGCCAAGTACGTATTCTCTTTCATTCTCCTTTCTTCTCTCGGGTTGTTGCCTGTTCTACACGGTCAAAGCGTTGTGCAACTTGCGATGCTGCTGAACGCCGCAAACACCCCAAACACCCAGCACTAAAGCGTGACTGCCGCAAAAATCATGCCAAGTCTTCCAAGGCCATGGAAGCAAAATCCATTGGGGGACATAGGCAAGCACCTGGAAAATCATCAGGGGCGTCGGTTTCTGTCATGGTGGGTGACGATGACCCCTCAGCCTTGAAGCGCCTGCAGGAAGAGCTTGGGCTGGTTGAGAAGAGCTCCGATCTCAACCATGTGAAGAAAAATCTCGGGAACAGGCTTTATGAGCTGAAGAAGAACGAGCACAAGGAATTGTCGGAGGTCATTCGGTATGTGCAAAAGTGTTTCGCGTACGCCATTGCATAAAACCGCAATTATCCAGCCGCATTGAAAGCCGTTTTCCATGCGTGCGTGCCACAGTATGAATGGCGATCATTCCGCCTGCGGCACATGGTGTGGCTACAACAGCAAACAAGACACCTATCAGTCTATCACCACCAAAGCCTAACCTGTGGCAAGGATCTGCCCTCGCCAACCACCAGAGCCGCTTTGCAGAAGTCGTTCTGCCTCTATGCGGAGTGCTTGGCCAAGCTGGCATCTTACGGCAGTACGCAGGCCAACGAAAGTCTGAACAACATCATCGCCAGCAAGCAGCCCAAGTCGAGGAGCTATGGCAGCTCCCCATCTTTCAAGATCCGTGCAGGTGCTGCAATTGCCCAGAAGAACCTGGGATACACTTATGTGTCCAAGGTAATGGAGCAGGCAGGCATGTCCCCGAGCTCACATGCGAAGGCGCACGGGGCCAAGCTTGATACCCGGCGAGCACAGGCCACGCTTCGCAAGTGGGGCAAGACCGTAAAGAGGCAAAGACTAGAGCTGAAGGAGCTGAGGAGTCAGAAGGATACCTCTCAAGGATTGGGGGAAGGTACATCGCACCAATCCGAGTCCTCCCTACTTGCCGAGCCAGACGTAGATGAAATCGCTGATCTGACCGGCAGTGATGAACGTATTCTTTTGTCTTTTCTGTGATAGGTTCTCTGAGTATGTATTGCCACAAGGGCCAATGCCCTCTGCCAGATGTTACAGGCGTGTCCGTGTCTACTGTCGGTGGCAAGCATGTGCTACTAAAGGCTGGCGAAGTCCTGCCGTCGCTCTCACTATCCGATGCCATTGCTCGTTTCATCACTTGGCTTCAGTCCATTGGTGGTTCGAAATCAGTTCTTATTGCACACAACTGCATATCCTTTGATATGCGTTTGTTAGTGGGTCAGGTGAAGCTTGCCCTGGGCAGTCTTACCTACAGCAGCTTGTCGCAGCAATTGCTGGGTTTGCTGATTCTCTACTAGCCTTGAAGCAGGTCCTCCCTGGAAGGCAGTCTTACAAGCAAGAGGATCTGGTCAAGGACATCCTGAAGGAAGAATATGCCGCCCACGGTGCCGATGCAGATGTCGACGTCCTCAGAAAATTGGCACACAAGACAATCCCGTAAATGTTCTACTTCAGCACAGCAGACAAGTCGAGTTGGAAACTGGCATCCCGACTTTATTGCAGGAAAAGGATGGCGATGGGCGTGTGCGAGTAACAAAGAGTTATGCTACTGCAAAACGCATAGCAGATCATCTAGCGTCTGAAAGACCCAACACCAGCAACCCTGGTTTACAGACCGCTCCAGACCATGCCAATACTTCAGCAGCTGCAGGAGCGTCCCCAGTTTCGCCTCGTGCTATGCCGCAGTTATCTGCCCAGACATTGGTGTTGTACCGCCGGAGGCGCGAGAATGAATATGATCTGCCTGGTCCACAATAGTGCACATTCCCCTCAGGCGACACTATTGTAGGCCCTCTATACCTCCTTTCAAGATTTTTGAAGGCTTAGCAGCTGGATTTTTACACATTTAGTGAGAAATCATTGATTTTTATTTTTGCCAAAACATAGGACTGGTACAACCCCCCCCCCCCCCCCCCCCCAGCTTAGGAACCACACAACAGCCCTATCCTTGAAATAGCCCAGAACAGTTCTCTAGGTGTCTGGCCATCTGAAAACACAAAATTCAGATTGGATTACTTTATTGCTCTCTCTTCGGGGTGGAGCCATTTTTAAGGCATCTGTATGATTATAAAACCAAAAGCACGAGATCCCATTGACTCAAGTGATAGAGAATAGAGACTACATCAGCTGAGAGAGAGAGAGAGAGAGAGAGAGAGAGAGAGAGAGAGAGAGAGAGAGAGAGAGAGAGAGAGAGAGAGAGAGAGAGAGAGAGAGGCAGAGAGAGAGAGAGAGAGAGAGAGAGAGAGAGAGAGAGAGAGAGAGAGAGAGAGAGAGAGAGAGAGAGAGAGAGAGAGAGAGAGAGAGAGAGAGAGAGAGAGAGAGAGAGAGAGAGAGAGAGAGAGAGAGAATTCAACTAACCATGCGGAAGATTGTGTGCGATCGGCTACTGCGTTCGTTCATATCCGTGCATCCGATATGACGGTTCTCTGCAAGGTCATAAACATGCACAGGATGTTGGTCACACACTCAATATAAATGTGCCAAAAGCACATTCCATTCCACCATTCCACTACAAGTGAATCCCTATAAGAGTTCCTAACATGAGTCAATGCTACATAAGTTAAGCTGAGGAATTGCTCCCTTGTGCAGAAAGGTGCCGGCGGCATTGAAATTGGAAATGCACAGCACCCATTGATATGCTCCTGATTTCAACTGACACCAGCATGGATAAACACGCACATGATGGTATAACACTGCATGGCATAAGATACTACAGGTAGACTCCCTCTAATTCGAATACGGTATAATTCGAACATTCCGTGTAATTCGAACTTTTTCGTCGTACCGATCTTCTGCAAGTCACTTCAAGTCAAAATCGAATGCATAATTCGAAGTACGAAAAGTGCGCCGGTTGGATAATTCGAACCCAGTCTTCGTACAGAAGAGCTGTTTACAGTACATTGGCTATGTCCTTTGAACGCTTATTTCGAAGTGAGATTGAGTTGCTATCCTTGTAATTCGAAGTTCATTCTTTTCTCCTTCTCTAGCCAAGAGTAGCTCAAAAATCGATCGATGGTCCGCTGCAGGATCGACTATAGCGTTCAAGAAACCCACCTTCTCTCGAAATTTGATTCAAGCCCGTGCGAGGCAAATTGCAAAGGTTTGATTGAAGACGACTTCTTCCTGGTGGCTGACTCTCTTCGTGGATCTCGATGGCCTTTCTTACCGCGCCAGCTCGTGCGCGGAGATGTTGGCGCACAACAACACTATTGTCGTAAATATTGTCTATGCCTTTGCTCCACTTCCGTTCTTCAGAACGACGTGCTGCTGTCCAACGGCCTTTCATGACGCGGATTAGGCAGCGCAGTTCTTTTCCGTTGAAATTGTTTCAGGAAAGCTACAGTGACTGACAACTTCTTCACTAGAAGATGAAGATAATGTCAAAATGATTTTGTGTCAATCCAGTGTTTTGATGATCCGTTTTACATGACCGGTACCTATGTTTCGTTGATGCAAATAAAAATGTGCAAAAAATATTCAGCATGCGATTTCAAGCATTTTGACATACATATCAGTGCATGGGGCTGCATTTGGATAATTAGAAGTTCTGGATAATTCGAAGTTAGGGCCTGGCAATTTGAGGTTCGAATTAAAGGGAGTCTACCTGTAATACCGAGTAAGCCAAGGTGCATCGATACAGTAGAAGACAAACGAGAACTACAATGTAGTGAAACAGAGATCCTACTTTTAACTGAAGTGATCATATACCAAAAGATCAGGCAAGGGCATGCACCTACTCACTTTCTCCGAATTTCAACAGGCGCAGAACTTCTTCAATGGACGTGACGTTCTCCTCTCGGACATCTCCAACATACACCTCACGCTGGACACACACACGCGCGCGCACGCACACACACACGCACACGCACGCACACGCACACACACACACACACACACACACACACACACACACACACACATACACACATACAGCAAAGTTAACAGTGCACGCCATCAAGATCTTGTAAGCTCGCAGTTCAAGTGAAGCCCATCCACATGTATAGATCAGCACTATGCCACAGTGTGCAGTAGTAGTACAGGTCAATGCATGCAGAACTGCACGTGTTGCAGAGCATCCAGCATACCATTAAAAAAAAGTATTGCTAGTACTGTAAGTTTGGTTTACTTTCCACAACTGTAGTGACTACAGTGCATTGGGTGGCCGCTAGAGGTTCACAAAAGCAGAACGCATACATAGGTCCAGACTGGCATGCACAGAAAGTACAGAACTACCGACTAAACCCTTCTTACCTGGGCGTTTTCGTGAACTTTTAGGTTAGTACTGCCAGGGTTCAACAGGTCGGTGATGCACTGCAGAGAATAGACAATAGACATAATATATGTTCAGTGGCTGGATGTATTAGCAAGTTAAGGTATAGGGAGTCAGACATACAGACACACGGACACACACACGCACACATACACACACACACACGCACACACACACACACACACACACACACACACACACACCTTCCTTCCTTCTTCTCCACTGCCATAACTGGCTAAGTGGCCCCATACGGGGCAGCTCTTGAATTAGCGCTGTCTCCGGGAAGCGGCACCAGGACCCGACGACTGACGTGACGGCGCATTCCCACGGGTTATAATTGCTATTGAACGCCGCGATGTACAACGATGCCGTGCGATATCCTGACGGCGGCGGAAACTGCGGTTGCACACACCGCAAAGCAGAGGCTTGTCGACAGGCTCTTGACGGGCAAGTACAATACGATCCACCCCATCAAGGCACTGGGACTTCCACTCACGGCGATTACTTGCCACGTCGAGCCAGGAATTGGGCTCAATGCCAATTGCCGCCAGGTCGGTCCGCACCACGTCCTTCCATCGCTTCCTCGGACCATGGGGCGGGCGCTTCGATGGCAAGGAGCCAAACAACAGCTGACGAGGGATGCGGTCGCCCCTCGGCATACGTGCCATATGGCCCAGCCACTGCAGCCGCCGCCTGCGAATCTTGTCAGCCGGCTGCTCCAAGTCGCCCCACCATTTCCGCACCTGCAAATTGGAGATGTGCTCATCAATCTGGCGTGCACGACCGATGTGCAAGATCATCCTCAAGCACTGATGGTGAAACACGTCAAGCCGCTGCAGGTCCCTTTGCCGTGTTGTCCAAGTCTCAGAACCATACAGGAGGACAGCCAGAACAGTGACGCCATAGACTACACGCTCGATGCCGATGGTGAAGTCCGAGTTGTAGAACACTGCATCCTTCAAACTGTGGAAAGCGCCCGATGCAGCAGCAATCCTACGCGACACATCATAGGTACACCTGGCATCCGGTGTCACATGGCATCCAAGATAACGAAAGGAGTGCACGTGCTCCACCGTGCCGTTTAAAGGTGCCATGTCCTCGTTCACCACCCCAGTCCCAATAGCCATGAACTTTGTCTTGGCCATGTTAACCTTGAGCCCAAAGGCAGAAGCAGTAGTCTCAAACCCAGCGAGTGCTCTCTCTGCACCGAGGTGAGTCTTGGCAAGAAGTGCAGAGTCATCCGCAAACTGGCATTCCGTTAGTGGAGCCCTGGTGTATGCTCGGAGACGCGTGTTGAACAGTCTGTCCTGACGAAACTGACAAATTGATAGTCCAATCTCGTCGTCACCAGCTATTGCTTCATGCCATTTCTCGACAACAGCAAGCATGTACAAATTGAAAAGAATCGGGGCCATGGTGCATCCTTGACGCAGTCCGTTCCCCACCGCAATCGGCTCCAACAGCTCGCCACCAATGCGTATAGATGCTGACATGTCGACATGGAACGATCGAATTACGGAAACCAGCACCTCTGGTACGCCAAGCTTTGCAAGCACCCTCCACAAGGCGGCCCGCGGCACCGAGTCATAGGCCTTTCGGAGGTCAATGAATACTGCGAATCCCTTGGAAGAATGCTCATGCAACTTCTCCGCGACTTGCCGAACAGAGAATACCATATCCGAGCAGCCCCTGCCTCTGCGAAAACCGCACTGAGAATCAGGCAGATACTGTTCCCCAACACGCTGCAGACGGTCCGCTATAAGCCGTGCAGCAAGCTTGCCAACCACGTCGAGAAGGGCAATCCCGCGCCAGTTATCAGTCAGACTCAGATCACCCTTCTTGGGGATAGGGACCAGGATGGCATCCACCCAATCCTGCGGTACTCGACCAGCCCGCCATACCTCCTCCAGCAATGCCTGCAGCTTACCCAGTAGAACAGGACCACCATACTTCAGCATCTCGGCAAAGACTTCAGAGCTACCACAAGCTTTGCCGTTCTTCAGTGCTTGCATGGCCTTACGAATCTCCACACGGTCGGGAACATCCGCAAGCTCCCCCAAGACCGGACGCTGGTGAATAGAGTCGAGGGTTTCCACGTCAAAGTCGCTGACGATATTGAGAACTCCCCCAAAGTGCTCCCGCCACCGCATGTTCGTGGCCTCGGGGGTGTCACAAACCTGTCCCATTGAATTCTTGATCGCTGTTGTGACCTTCGGTTTTAGTCCCTGAAACGCAGCCTGGATGTGTCTGATGCACTCCCAGCCACCCTTGGACGTGAGGCTGAAACGTTTGCAATCCTGGGCCTTGTTGAGTAGCCATTCCTGCTTGACGCGTCTGACTTCCCTCCGCGCGGAGCTGCGGGCACACTTATAGGCATTGCAATCACTGACTTTGCGTGTAGACACCCAAACAGCAAACAGCCGATCCCTCTCCAGTAGGAAAGGTTCAAGCTCTGCCTGACTATCCCGAAACCACTCCGGCTGTCTACGGCTCTCTCTGCCCAAGCAATCCTCTGCAACCTTGATAGTTGTTGTCTTGATGGTAGTCCACCAGTCATCCAAGGATGGCTCATGCGACCAGGCTCCCTCCAACTCTGCATCCAGCATGTCGCGAAAGACCCTACGAGTGTCCGGTTCGTCATCTCCGCCAGGCTTGCACAACAGCTTGGACACAGCAATGGGTTTTCTGATGACAGCACGGGTACGATGGAAACAGGGATTCTCTGCCAGGCGCAATTTCATAGCCAAGAATTTATGATCGGTATCACATTCCGCAGACCGGATGACTTGGCAATCAATACACTGGGAGCGTCGGCACACACACACACACACACACACACACACACACACACACACACACACACACACACACACACACACACACTAGCGTGCACTGCTCTTACTGACCTAAAGCCTGCATGCACAAGTGCACATCCACACAGCTTACCTCATTGTAGATCTCCAGAAAGGACACTCGAATGAGAAACATGCGATTGGCACTCTGTGAGCAAAAATACAAAAGAAGCAGGCAGCAGTTATTAAAATCCTCTTCTCCCCTTTCGATAGAACTGAAGGCAACAAGAAAGGAAGGCTGGTTGAAATCAGAGTGAAATCGCACAATAAGAAGTCACCAAAAGGTTGGAGTCGTGATTGAAATGTTTAATTAGCGGGATCACAATCCCTGTTTTAATGATGTGCACTAGTATCATTATTTCTTAGGTATACAATGTGCATTGGGTGGGGAAAAGGTATGATACAGTATGAAATACACCTGAAATGAAGTTGTTTCGAACTTGTACTACCTCCGTATACAAAAACTTCGTGACTTTTTTGAACGGTGTTTTGAGCAAGAACCTGCTCAACGAACGGCGCCAAAGGCTGTCATCGACAACCCACGTCCATGTCAAGGTTAGTTTGGTTGATCCCGAACAGATTCTCCACGGACGCCATGCGTGTGAGGACGTTGCCGACAGAAACTCAAAAGTCAAATGAAAAAAACTAACACTTACTTGCTCGAAACTGACACAGTGACGAAGTGTAGCTCGTGGCTGGAACACGGAGTCACGCGGCACTCGCTGCCCTGAAACTGGCCAGGCTCGTACTTGCGGTGCGCGGCCCCATAGATCTACGCAGCGTGAGAACATAGATTTATTTCGCTCGCACGGCAAGATGAAACATTTCAGCCGTCGTGCAACCAGCGCAGACTCAGGATCAGAATGTCGATGGCCTTGCTTTCTTCGCCTCTCTCCAGTCAGACGTCTCCTTTGTCGCCAAGGGGAATCGCAGGGGCCTCCTCGAAGCCATTGTAGAATGCTTGGGAGGATTATCCTGGCGAGAAAATGCGAAGCGTGTGGATGTGCTTGTACGACTCGTTTCACGGCATAATGGAGGTCGCGGGTTGGAACAACTGAATATAGTCGACACCGATTCGTACACAGCTCTAGAGATGAAGAGGACGTAGCCAAAGTCCAGCGTGGGATCATCACTGCATGTGACAAGAATCTGAACGAAATGCGAGCGGAAGCAGCGACTGTTGACGATGCGGAGTCGGCGTCGTCAGGTGACAATGACATGAGCGACGAAGACTCTGAAAAAACTCAATCTCATTCGTCTGAGTTGCTTTTTTCTTTGTGTATAGCTTGTAAACAGGTTAGACAATGCCACAAGTGTTATTCCGAGTCAAACGGAACAATTCCAGAGCTGTGCGCAGCTTTCAAAAAAAGTCACGAAGTTTTTGTATACGGAGGAAGTACTAACAACCTATTAGCCTACATAGCAAGCAGTTAAGAACACAGTAGACTAGAAGGATAGAGGCAAAACAATGACAAAGCCCATTGCTAGAACGTGTGCATGAGAAAGAAACACAGAGGCGGAGCTCCTCACCTCGGAAATGATATTGAAGATCTCGTCAAGTGCCAGATGAATGATTCCTGGCTCGCGGTTCGAACCCATCATAGTGTGCGTCTTACCGGAAGATGTCTGGCCATAGGCAAATATAGTGCCTGGAGGTGGCACACAAGGCAACACAGCAATAATCCCATGCCTGGGTTATGCATGCTCTCATAGGCATTTTTCACAGTACGGTACTGAGTGCATTGCAGTAGTAGCTACCAGCTCACACTGGCCACACCTTGAATATCCATGGAAGCAGGTGGACCTGGGGTGAGGTGGGTGCACAGTTTCAACTCACCGTGGAATCCTGCCAACGTTGATTGCACAATGGGCTTGGCAATGGCCTCAAACACGCCACTGTTGGTAGATGTTTGGTCAAACACATGGTCTAGAATCAAAACAAGACAGACATAGGTAGTGAAAAACAAAGTAAACATCTGATGCCCTAGATTGGGATATGGTGCCATGGCTGTAAAACTAGTCTGGGGATACAAACCCCATGTTTCCCCATTGTTCCGGTGGCTCAAAACAAAAAAAATCCTTGGGAAAACTGAGCAAATCTCCGAGAATCTACAACCTGCATACAAGACAATGGCAAGGGAATCAAAGAACATCCATAGTGCGCCACTTCTACGGTAATAGCCAACCAACACTGGATAAACTGATGAACTCTCAGTTGGGTTGGACTCACATCAGTTCATAAAGCCTAGCATCTATGGTACAACACACTGTATATGTATTCTGTTGTGAATCGATGACGGGTTGGGCAATATCCCAGCTACTACCATGACTGCCACTGGATAATGTACTGTAGATGATACGCAAGTAAACGTCAAGTGGACTCGCTCCTCTACAGCTCGGTGCCATCATGGCATAGTACATACACGGTGCAAACCCATGTTATAGCCCTCTCTCCCTCCCCCATGGCATTTGGTAAAGACCACACAGGAGTGTTCAGTTACAACACACAGTGGGATACCAAACAAAGATGTGATCATGTACCTGAGTCTGACCATTGCTCTTGCCACGCGATTACGTCTAACAATAAACATTCTCCTTCACTAACGCGAGGTTATGTATGGGCGACAGCGTGCGTTCCGAATGCTGTATCTGGTAGGTTGGGTAACCCCACTGTGGCACAGAGTCAGTACGATGAACTTTTAGGGGGGATCACTGCATACTAGTACCAGATACTGGATCATGATGAGTAGAGAGCATGTGTCATATCGGCCTCGGCAGCTGACGGGTTCTCCCGGGCTGTACGACAAACTTCCCCGGGTTGTACGACGAACTAACTACTCTGCCGGTACTAGTTTACATGTTGGGTGAACGTGTTCCCCTCATGAGCGCACGTTTGTACGGCAGTTGTCTTTTGTATCTACTTGTCACTTTTATCAATGCATGGGCCGCGGGATGTTGTATCTGCTAACTGTCTTATCGTATACGCTGGCTGTTTAGTTAATTCATAAATAATACACATTTCTCCTTGTCTTCTCCCATTGGTCAATTCTGCATAGCAACAAGCTCTCTATGGTCTGATTGGTTGGTTTTTCTCGCCTTTGCTACGCCTTTGTCTAACTCGATCCTTTTTGTTATCATATAACTCCTGCTGCTTCTGATCAAAAGTGCCAACCTTCCTTCGACCTTCAATCTTGAATCGAGCTTGAAATCACAGTTACTCTCAACCTTCTTCGAATGACCAAGGTGAGCGTGTGTGGCTGAATGGATACTTGGATCAACTATATTGGTTGATGACCTGGTGGGGTTACTACGGCAATGCGAATGTATATGTTGTAGCCTTGAGATTGGAAGGGAATGGGTTGAGCCTGAGATTTCAGCGCCGAACCGTTTTCAGATTTTGATCCCAGTTGATCTGCGGACCGAAATTCTGAAGGAGTATCACGATTTCCTTGGTCATGTGGGTATGAAGCGGATGATTGCCCAGCTTTGCACTCGGTTCTATTGGCATGGAATGAGTCGTGACGTGGAAGATTGGATCGGCACGTGCACGTCATGTTGTCGACGCTCCCGGCCGGTTGGTCGAGGACAAGGGGCACCCTTACAGGTGTCCTGGGCGGGGTATCCCTTCGAACGTGTGGCTATGGATTTGATTCCAGGACTGCCTGAGACTTCAGGTGGAAATCGTCACATTTTGGTCGTTGTGGACTACTTCACAAAGTGGGTAGAGGCGTATCCGTTGAAACGGATGGATGCAGCGACTGTTGCATTGGTATTTGTGAGCGAATTCGTGTCCAGATTCGGAGCACCGGATAGCTTGCATACGGATCAAGGTGCAAACTTTGATTCGAAACTGTTCAAGAACGTTTGCGGCTTGCTTGGTATCAAGAAAACGCGGACAACGGCTTACCATCCGTCGGGTGACGGATTGGTAGAGAGGTTTAACCAGACGTTAGAGCGATTGCCCTCACACTATGTTCAGAGAGACCAGCGTGATTGGGATGTCCAATTACCCGCAGCATTAATGGCGTATCGGGCTACCACCCAAGCCAGCACAGGGTACACGCCGGCATATCTCCTCTTCGGCAGAGAGTTCTGTCTCCCGCAAGATGTTGCATATGGTTTACCGCCAGCTGAACAGTTGGATGAACCTACGTATGTGCGTCAATTGCGGTCCCGTTTGGCGGATGTGCACACGACTGTGAGGCACAAGCTCGGTGCAGTGCATCGACATCAGGCGCATCTCTATGATCATAGGGCTGTGTCGGTGGAATTCGCGGAAGGAAGTCTGGTATGGCTCTTGGTATCCGCTGTTCCGGTTGGAACCAGCACCAAGTTGGCGAAGTTATGGAAGGGACCGTTCAAGGTTTTGAACCGGTTGTCTGATGTTGTGTATCACGTCCGTGATATGGGATCAGACTCGACTACATGCCAAGTTGTGCACGTGAACCGCTTGAAGAAGTGTTGTGTACGCCCAACACATCTCGCTACGGTTGTACGTCGAATTCATCTCCGACAAGGAACCCGATCAGAGCTGCGTCACCACAACCGAGCTCCTACACGCCTGATACCACAGACTTGTTGCATGCGGAGAGAGCAGGCGGCCGCGACGAGCAGTTTGGAGGAGTAGAGCTACTTCCCATTGACGCTGCAGTAGCACCGGCTGATGTCAACCGTCCAGCTCAAGGAGTACAGTTGCTTTCCACTAACACTGCAGCAGCATCGGCTGGTGTCAATCGTCCAGTTCGAAGAAGGAGACCACCCCAGCGATTGGAGTACGACTAAGGATTGCGGGACGCAATCTCCCAGAAGGCCGGGGAGATGCCATATCGGCCTCGGCAGCTGAAGGGTTCTCCCGGGCTGTACGACAAACTTCCCCGGGTTGTACGACGAACTAACTACTCTGCCGGTACTAGTTTACATGTTGGGTGAACGTGTTCCCCTCATGAGCGCACGTTTGTACAGCAGTTGTCTTTTGTATCTACTTGTCACTTTTATCAATGCATGGGCCGCGGGATGTTGTATCTGCTAACTGTCTTATCGTATATGCTGGCTGTTTAGTTAATTCATAAATAATACACATTTCTCCTTGTCTTCTCCCATTGGTCAATTCTGCATAGCAACAAGCTCTCTATGGTCTGATTGGTTGGTTTTTCTCGCCTTTGCTACCTTTGTCTAACTCGATCCTTTTTGTTATCATATAACTCCTGCTGCTTCTGATCAAAAGTGCCAACCTTCCTTCGACCTTCAATCTTGAATCGAGCTTGAAATCACAGTTACTCTCAACCTTCTTCGAATGACCAAGGTGAGCGTGTGTGGCTGAATGGATACTTGGATCAACTATATTGGTTGATGACCTGGTGGGGTTACTACGGCAATGCGAATGTATATGTTGTAGCCTTGAGATCGGTATTGTGTATGTCCGGCATGACACATGCATTCAACCACAGATACTTAGGCTGTGTTTACATGAAGCGTTTCAACCCGGGTTGAGTTCGACCCGGGTCAGATTTCAACCCGCCATGTACACAAAATGAATGGCGCGTTTACATGACGCATTGCGCTTGACCTGGGTTGAAATTTCGCCCCGGGTTGATTTCAACCCTCCCCCCAAGGGGAGGGTTGAAATCAACCCGGGTCAAGAAAATCGTACAAACGTACTTCTGTGCGTATCTCGCGCCAGGTTTGAACAGCACTGCACATGCAAATTTCGCGCGAACAGATTCACGTGACCATACAGGACTGTAGAAGTGGACTTTTGGCGGCATATCAGTATTTGACCCGGGTCAACTGTCTTCATGTAAACGCTCACCTCTTTTGTCTATCGTACAGACTTTCAACCCGGGCTGAACTCGACCCGGGTTGAAATTTCTCATGTAAACACAGCCTAAGATACATAATATTTTACAAAAGAGTACATAACCAAGGTCAAGCTGTGTACCAGATGTACTCTTGTCTTGATTTTATTGTGCATGTAAAAGCAAGAGTACATGAAAACCGGTTTTCATGTACTCTTGGTAAAAGGCGTAATTACCGTAGCAATGATTATGTCGTACGTCAACTGCTACTACAAACATGCACTGCGGAAACTGTTCAATCAAATAAAATACTCACCAAACGTGAATGAGGCATTCGGGACTTTCGCACAGGTAATACTCCGGCCAGCCAATTTCCAATTAGCAACAGCATCGCTTGGCTCTCTGTGAAAATGAAGAGATTCTTCCTTTCATTCATACACTGGATAGTAACCTGTGAGGTTGTGCACACAGCAAGTTGGCAGATTTTGACTTACCTGGGCAATAGAGGCCGGAGCCTCACCGCAACATTGACGGCATCCATGGGCAGCCAAAGCTGCGTGAGAGCTACTTCAGAATTGCAATTTGACGCGTCCTAGAAGTAACAGTCCCCTCCCATGTCGAACAAAACATCGTCTTTCTCTCACTTCTCAGTGCAGCACAACGTAACGTTTCGTACACTTGTGCTTCTTTCCCTGGCCTAGCCTCATCATCTGCAGATCTGCAGCATGAAAAATCCGTGCAGTTCGATTTTCAAACTTGCCGCCATCGCGGACACAGATCGCGCGAGACACACAGTGTTGTGCCACCATGACAACAGCCGTTATGTCGCGTGACTCGATCCGTACGCGCACGCGGTAGCAGGTCCAGGCCAGCACTCAGTCCGTGCGCCAGATTCAAAATATCGCACTCTATCCGTGTTTTTTATTTTCCAGAGTCAGTGGACTTTGAACTTTTTGAGCTATTTCTTGAGAATTGTTAGTTTCTAGTCATTGCAAGGTGGGCCTTACAAGGCCCTTTTTCGTTCGAGTTCAGACCTGACACGCCGTCCATCGCCGGATAAGGCAAACTTCTATCCTCAGTTTCGAACGTTTTCTCGCCGGGTGCTTCTGTCCCATGCAGCATCACGTCTTCTCCGACTGTCGAAATTTGAATTTTTCTTTACGCAGGACTTTAGTTTAGTGCCGTCAAGTATTCCAGGCACGCGTAGTAACACCCACTACAACATCCAGAAGAACAAGCCTTAGTCTTTTAGTATGTGGTCTCTCGCCGGTGTCCAAGACCAAATAACACCACACCGACCAATTTTCTAACCTCTGTTTTTCTCGCTATTTACATGTATATGGAGGACAGTTGGAAGCATGTAGCACTCACAATGAACACATCAGGACGGTGTAATAATGCCACTCAGGTACATCATGGGCGTGTATGCATTCCTGCCTGCGAGTTATGCCAAGCAACTCGTCTGGACACCAGTGCACACATCCGACAAATGCAGAATATTGGAATATTTTGGTAAAATAGTGAACGGCGAAAGGCAAAAACGCAAATTGCAGCCACCTACAGACTAATATCCACATACGCTGGCTGTGTAAAGGAGTGTCAATGAGAATCTTCATTGCGTTACTACAGAAGTGTATGAAACGGAACGTAGCGGACGAGCTCAAAAGTGAACGCCGCGCCAATATAGGCGGCATTGCAGCACATGTAAAGACAGTTATGGACAAACAGGCACAGATGAACTGTTCCCACTATGAAACGGTCTCAGCAGTTCCAAGGAGTAAGAACATGACAATAGCATAGAATGATGTCTTTTGCAAGGAGTGCTACGAGGCACAGCTAGAATGTTTAATAGTTGACAGCAGTGCAAGCATTCACAACAAAGCTATTACAGCTGATCGCTTGTCACACTCAGATCTGCGATAATCCTCTGGCTGAGCTAACAGCAGTACTGGGAGAACACATGGATGTTTGCACACTAGCAAAAGAAGCGAGTCATTCTCCTTCTGCGGAAAGGCTGCAATACCCAAGGCCCTCTTCGTGCTGTTCTCACACAATGCCAAGACGCGTTAATAGCCAAGGTCCTCTTCGTGCTGTTCTCACACAATGCCAAGACGCGTTAATAGCCAAGGTCCTCTTCGTGCTGTTCTCACACAATGCCAAGACGCGTTAGAGCACGATCCACCTGAGAAGACACACAGATCGCACAAGATAAGGCAGTATTTTAAGTTTTTAACGACAGTAGGAATAATGCATGAAACACAGAAAGTAATTAAATGGAAAAAAATTGCTCTGCTCTTTATATACTACACTTTTCCAATGTTATACAGATAATACACTGAACTCCATGGAAGTGGATTTGGTTGTCCCTATTAGTATAATTGCAGTGGGTGCTGCTTCACTTGAACCATAATTTTGGTTCCAGTGAAGCAGCACTCACTGCAACAATTTGCAGAAAAATTCCTCAATCGCATCGTCGCGCATCACGTCGCAGAAGTGATATCATGCATCGCGCTTTAGAATGTTGGCATGGCTGGGCATCACTGCCGGTAGTTCTGCCAAGAAGACGTAACCCGGATTATTAACCCCTGGTGGATCGGTTACACACAGAAACACAGCAGGTTCGAGGCAGTGTCTGCATGCGATACACCATGCACACAAACCTTCATAAGGCTCTTATGAGAAAAAGCGCGCTTTGAATCTGAAAACCACAGCAGATCGTTGACGCACTGCCCCAGCCGGTATCCCAGTTTGTCGCTACGTAATGTGGGCAGCAAGCCCCTTCAGACCCCTCGTGCAAAGTTGCATGCTCTTGGGGCTATGGACTCTTGGTTCAGCCACCAAAATATGAATGCAGTGGAGCTGCGTCAGCGGCGTACATGAAACGAGACAGCATTCGGTTCGTTTCAATCGATAATATCGACAAAGAATATATTATTACAATGACACCAAGAGAAGCTTTCATGGCAATTAAGGCCAGCATGTCCATCCGCAGCAGCAACGAGGGTACATCTCAAGAGAATACAACTACAAGTCCATACCCACTAAAATGTCATGCAAATTTTACAATATACAGAGTATAAAAGACATACAAATTTCGCACTTTCGGATTCCTCAACAGTACCATCCTAAGCACAGGCACACTAAACGGGAAGAGAACACATTTATTTATGACATCGTATTCTTTTGGATGCTTCTTTCTTCTTGTTGTGCTATTTTCAACAAGGCAACACTTGTGCTCGTAAAAATACTAAAAAAACAATTTTGAGATTCCACTTAGTGCCATCGGTTATTCCAGGCAGGAATGCTCAAACCATTATCATCACACTACACAACAATATGTACTTACTAAGGTCCGCCATGAGAGCTTGGTGTCCGCGGCTCTAGGAAAGCGCAGCTCGTCTACTTCTCGATGCCAGTCGGCGAAACCAGCAAATCGGGGAGAGCAGTTTCTTCCATAAATAAAGGCCAAGATGGCGTTTGCGATTCAAATTTTCTACTCGGCGTCAAAGCACAACATTGAACTCATCATCTTCCATTGCTGCAAAGGCAAAGGAGCGAAGACAGGCCGCGAGAAAGGCCAAAACAATTGCCAAATTTCTCCCCCAACTGCCATTGTCGTCATCATCTTCACCAACACAGTTTTGTGCAGACTTTTTCCCGCGGGATCGGACCCAGGAAAATGAAAACGGCCCACTCAGTGGCCTGGCGCACGGACTGCACTTGACAACTACATTTTTTACTTCAATTATTTCAAATAATTCAATGCCAATGCGCGTGAGCTGTCTGAGCAGCAGCTGGCAGCATGCATGCAGTGCAGTTGTAGTTGTCCAGGGAGTCGTGAAACACCGGTATTTTACGACTCCGTGGAGTTGCCAGGGATCGTCACACTGTATTTGACGACTCCCTGCCTTGCCATTGAATGATTATTTTTAATTTTGATTTCTTATCCCACGCGCTAAAAAGTAGTTCTTTCTGGTACAATCCGCGCTATATACATGTATAGGCTGCACGCACTGACACTTTCCCTCCAATCATATGTAGCTAAACCATGATGTACGCCGTGACTTCTCAATTTCACCGCCATGTATTGGTCCCCACCAGGGAGTCGTATAGACCCGGGAGGCGACACGAGGCCTTCCGGGCCGACTATGATTGACTCGCGGCACTTTCTCCCACTTTTCCCTCAGATATCCCCGGTGCGTGCCCTGAGTTATAAACCAACTACTCCGCGTACTTATGCCATGGGACTTTGGGAGTGCACTCCTTGGCCTGGTGAACGGACTCATGCAGGATCGATAGGATCGTGGGAAATCGTAGCTCGAAAAGAAGAAGAAGAATGAACTACTTTTCCAAGTAATTAGTTGCATTTGATGATCGTGATTGAGGCAGAGAGTGCTGCTGATCGCGATCTAGATCCGGGTCAAGAATCACCTCCTGATCCTAAGGAAACCTCAGCTGACGTAGATCTACGTTCTCTTCGCGTGAACGCTCAGTCTGTATTGGCTTGGGCCACAGGTATGGTTTGAATTCTAATTTTCTATGTTATTATATTTTTCAATTTGTCTTGAAACTTTCAACCTTGCTACTTAGCGGCTTCTGATCTGGTGCACGTACTGCATAAAAAGTTGCGAATAATCATGAATTGGAAGAAATACTTGTGGGTTGATAGAGTGCAGTACTTGTTCAATGGTTTCTACAGAGCGTTCCGAATCCCAGCCGCTAAAGACCCACAGAAGGCAAGAAGTTTGCGTTGCAAAGCTGCTGTCCCGCCTGACTGCGGAGAAAGAAGACTCGTTTATGGTTGTTCTACAGCCGCTGCTGACGTCCATCAGCTCTGTCCTGCTCCCAGCTGCAGATAGGCCTGGATTTCAATGAGTCGTGTCCCAACTCCGGTGTGAACGATTTCCCGACGTCAAGACGAAGTGGGGTCAAGTCATGGGTGTTGCAAGGAAGCTGTCACAAGATGATCCGGTATTGAACGGTAGGTTTTGTAAAGCTGCTCTAACATTTGGATCCTATAAATTATAACATTAAATTATTATTTGTATTCACGAAGCCTTGCCCAAGACGTGCGACATAGCGTGCGTTCGTGTGTATGTGTGTGCGTGCGTGTGTATATTGTGTGCGCGCTTGTGTATGTCGTAAAATCCCGCCAGAGCACCCCTACCTCCGGAACCATTCGAGTAGATCCATTTGGGGAGGGGCGGATGGGCGAGTCCTGCTTGCCGCATTCAGTACTGCATGAAAAAGTACTCACCCTAAGAAAACTGTGCGTGCGTCTCGTACACCCAACAAAAGTCAAGAGCTGGGAGTCGTACAAACCCATCAAAACCCTAGGGTGTGTGCGATCTCTGGTCAAGAGGGTGGGAACTGCTGCGTACATTTCCAACCAGGTCGTAGACGCATCTGCAGTACAGTACGACCTCACATTTCACATAGTCATACGAGGATACAACTCTATTGATAGATAAGATAACGTGCTTGTAGATCTCTGCCATGCCAAAGTTGCATTCAGTAGAGGTAGTAGTCTCTGTCAAACGTGTTTGCCATTGGCTCACGGCACTTGTAGCAGCTGATCGGACGATGCAAATGGACTCCCAGTCCACATTATCTGGTTCTTGATATGCCTTCGAAAATATACCATGGCACGCACTTTCCACTGTTGTTACATAGGGCCGGACGTGTGTTGTCCTGAG